GGGCTGTGGGGGACTTCCTGCATTTTGCAGAACTTTCCGAGGACTTCCTCGGGAAGTACCCAACTGTGTTGCTTCTGACATCATAGGTTTCGGAAACTTCCCACTTTCAAAGCTCCATTCACCTACGTGCTCAATGAAACCCTCGGGAAGTTTGGCAAATTAGCTTGCGGCCCTCCGGGAGGTTCCCGTGATTTGTCTGAGTGCATTTCCTGTGCGGACCAGATGTGCGATAGGTGGAGCCGGGCCTCCCAAAAGTGAAGGTGGTTCCAGCTACCACTGGCCGGCCAAACCGGCCAAAAGTGAAGGTGGTAGTGCCGGTGGTAGTGCCGGACACTCACCTCCCAAAAACGTCGACCGGGGGGAGCATTCGTCTATCCTTCCGGGTCGTTGCCGCCAGTGCGCGGAAAATAAGCAAAACAAATGCAAAAGAGATCATTGAAAGCATATTTATTTATGTATACAGCGTCATAAATATCTAAAATAAATGCTTATCAAATAGTGTGTTTGGAAGTACTCAGCGGAATTGTACGTATTTTTTTAACTAAATTTTGTTATAATGTACAGCGAAGAAAGTAGGTCGATCCAGGCAGTAACCGCCGAGAACCAGAATTTCGAATGATAAAAAATGAAAAATCGTGAAAAATCATTCCACTCTTACAAATCTGCTGGCTGAAGACCTCCGCAGTTGCGACTTCATAGTTTTTAAAGGGTAAGTGTTGTTCTACCAGATAGTGAAAGAATTAGTTTGATTTGAGGAGTGGCCGCCGAGAACGAGAATTTTGGAAAACCTCAAAAATCTTCTCAATTTTAGGTTGCTCAATGACAACTGACATTTAACCTCTTATAAATCTGAACTTTAAAGGTGTGTGATGTTGCGACTTCATAGGTTTTTTAGGGTGAGTTTTGCCCTATCAGAATATGTCTTAGCTGTACCGATCCATTGAAACATCGCCGAGATCCAGGCTCTTAAAAAAGCAGGAGAAAAACGGTTTTTTGCTTATAACTTCTTCAAAATTGCATAATTCATGTTGCAACTTCATAGGTTGGATTCTCCTCTTCATGAGCTTTCAGATGATATATAATATGTCGGGGATTCAATGTTTCTTGCGGCTCTAACCCGGGGTGGAGTACTCCTCTTCACTAATTCTCCACCTCGCCCATTTCAATGTATTGGCGGGAGGCCGCCAGTGGAGAATTAGTGAAGGAGGTACTCCACCCCCGGGCATATGCCGTGGGAGGCGTGAATCCCCCACATATTATATATCATTTGAAAGCTCTTGATGAGGAGAATCCAACCTATGAAGTCGCAACATAAATTATGCAATTCTGAAGAAGTTATAAGCTGAAAATTTGAAGAGCCTGAATCTCGGCGATGTTTCAATGGATCGGTACAGCTAAGACATATTCTGATAGGGCGAAACTCACCCTACAAAACCTATGAAGTCGCAACGTCACACACCTTCAAAATCCGGATTTATAAGAGTTTAAATGTCAGTTGTCATTAAGTAACCTAAAATTGAGAAGATTTTTAGGGTTTTTCAAAATTCTCGTTCTCGGTGGCCACTCCTCAAATCAAACTGATTCTTTCACTGTCTGGTAGAACAACACTTACCCTTCAAGACCTATGAAGTCGCAACTGCAGGTCTTCAGCCAGCACATTTGTAACAGTGAAATGATTTTTCACGATTTGTTCTCGGCGGTTACTGCCTGCCAACCTACTACATAGATATATGCTCTTAATACTTTCTTTTACATTTTTTTGCTTATTTTCCTTCTTTTGAGCTTTAGCAAAAAAAATTTTCAAACCCAAAAGTGAAGGTGGTCACCCTGTACCAGCTCAAAAGTGAAGGTAGGCGGAGAATCGGCTCCGACTATCGCACCTCTGGTGCGGACCCTGGGGCACATAAATCATTTATGATCAAGAAGTGTGATTTTAAATCGGTCCCACCGTACCCATGGTATTTGGTAACTGTTTGACCTTTGGAAAGGTGTCCGATATGGACTGAATTTGAAGGTTGAATATCTCTACAATGAATAATTATAAGGTGCCGCTCGGGCAATGGGTCATCTAAGGTTCCCAATTCCACATTTATAAAAACGCAGATATCTCCTAAAACATTGCCCTAATGAATATTTTGCTATATCTGATGTTCCGAGGCTGCTTTGGACGATCTATAGAAATACCTCTTCACCCATTCAGACTGAGTTCAGGTTTCCTGCGAAAGAAATGAACGCGATCCCATTTGGCTGTCTAAATTGGGTGTTTATGTTATCGCTCTATATTGCATTTGGCCTTTTTCATACACCTTGCCCTTTTTACGCAATATCCTATTAGCTGGATGTTGTTGAAAAATATTGGGTATGGCCACTAGGTCCATCTATCGAAACTTGCCGTGAGCCATAGAATTACGGAAACTATAGTCTTTTTCAGAGTGTTCGATCAGTTATAATGGAATTCGATTACTTGCAAATTTGAATAATAATCTGAATAATGGTTGAAATTTTTACGAAATGTTGAAGTTTTGACTGGAACTCCTATGAACTTCTGAGATGTTTCCTTGATGCAGCAATGCTTCTTCTACAGAGTATTTCTGCACCAAGTAAATCCTGAGTAAATGTGAGTGTGCCAGAGGACAGGTGACTTGTAAGTAATAAATCCGCAGATGACCTTTTGTTTGTGCTCTTTTGCCGAAGAGACATAAGAAGAGGCTTTGTGCCATCTCTGCACTTTTCATGATCATATAGCAAACTATATGCATCCATAAGCGCCCTGTAAGTGGCCAATGGATCCAGTTTGAGAGGGTAAAAACTCATAACCAGAATCGATCGCTATGATCATACTAATGCAGTTTCCACGAGCCAAAATTATGACTCGCGTCGGTTGCCGAATGTTCTAGAGCGTAGGGCCTGCTGTGCATGTATCAGCATACATGTGTGCATAAGTAGGTAGGGGAGTTACACCAGGCAGCCGGAGCCGATTAGGATTTGCATAATTCAGCAGTGAGTCGGTCGCGGTCGAGAGGCAATCGCTGCAGTCACACTCACATCTGTTCGCCTCCGGTGTGATTCGCAATCTTTTGTCTCTCGGCTTCTTTTTTCGAGCTCGAAAGCAGAATGTGAGCAGTGTGGTTACTGGGAGCAGTGGCAGAGTATAAACATAGTAACCATGCGCGGGCGGGGGCCGCGCCTCAGCTGTTACAGCCGCAGGCGGCGCGGCTGTGTTCGCCGCCGGGCGGGGTCCGGTCAAGCTCTCGTCGCGGACAAGCTGATCCCGCACTCCTGGCTCAAGCACTACGGCTAGTTCGGAATCGGATCACGTGACAATTGCGGCACAACAGCTGCGACATTCACTCACTCAATCCACACCCGTCGGCACCGAGCCTTACAGCCCTCGGGCGGCGCCTCCGATTACCCGCTCGCTCACTCTCGCGCGTGAATCACTACCTCCTTTCCTTGGCTGCGTTACGTAACGCTCCAGCGAGCGGTGCATAATTGTGTTATCCGCAGCTGAGGCGAAAAACCCTTGTCGGCATGAGGCGCGGCTCATCTCTGTTGCCGGGGGCGTTCGCGCCCGGCGGCAGTCCGAGTTCCCCGCCGCCGGCTGCGCTGTGCGCAGCCCTTTGTTGTCGCATGTCGAAGCCGCAACTCTCGGCTCGGCTATTCAGCTGTTCACTTGACTGCACCAGCTGCCTGCTCGCAGCTCGCATTACCTCACTCTGCTCAATCAGTTACATAACATGCTCTTTCTCTATATAAAATTTTTCTCTTCGTAGGTCTCGATGGCGACTCGGCCGCTGGCGAGATGCCCATTCATCTTGCTGTAATGCTATATGGACTAGCGCTTGTGGCGATAAGATCCTCGAAAGAAAATCCATTTTCGAAAATAAACAAGTAGTATGCACCTTTTGCTTACATCATTTGAACTCTTCAAAATGGCAGCTGTTCTAACTCATTTGTTTCTACATTTAGTATATATCATGTTCATTGGAAACATACTTTATGTTAGCTAATTCTTTCTTTTTTGTAAGAAATCACAAAAACTAAAAAAAAAGAACATTGACGATCAACGACGCCACACAAAGTGTCTTGATGGAGCGAACACATGTTCATCGAGTGTCGTTTCGCTGATCTGAGTTCAGTTTTTTTTCCTTTCATTACTTGTAAATTCAAAATCACTGAAACGTCCGTAAATTTTGGGTCCAATTTTTTGCACTGTGCACCTTTTGAAGTATTATTTTTGCATATAATTGTATAAGTCTTCGTATTCGTAATGACCCGTTTTTGTTTCATTTCTTTTTCGATAGAACATGATCTGAGTGTTACGGTGACAGTATTTCCCAGGCAAGTTTGTTCGCTTTTGCCATGACATTTATCGAAAAGAAAAACCTAAACCGAGGGGAAGAGCTTGTCAGACTTGCGGATAAGCACTTTTGAAGCGGCCCATTGCTTGCGTGACAATGTTTTGGCCTTTTAGATTATTCTGCGCATCCCGTCTCTTCACAGCCCAACGCTGCGCTTTTTCCTAATTCGTACAATGAAGCGTTTTTTGCCTCGATGATCTCTCATCTGCATGCGAAGGGAGGATTTGGATCAGTCACGCGGGGGGCTGTGCGGGGTCCCCCTAATTGGCAAGGTAATTGCGGCGAAATGCGCTCGACCTCGATCTGTGCGCGCGAGCGGCTGGTTCGTACCGTAATTGAGTGCGAGGACTGTGCATTAGCGGGCTCTAGCTCGAGGTCGAGGCGCGCCGGACCCACTGTGCCCGCGGGCCCCACTTACCTCTCACCTCACTCCCTCCCCCCCCCCCCCGTCTCTCCGCCCTTTCATCGGTGCTGAGTTCTGTTCCCGACAACCTGTGCCATATGTTGTTCATGATATCCATGCAGTCCCCGCCCCCCATTGTCTGCCGCCACCCCCATCGCCACGCTCTCTCGCTTCCGTTGTCACTGCTTCGTCTGCGTCTCCGCAGATTCGTGCACTATCTCACGCATTGTTTTCAGTCACTCACGCTCTGCGCTCACCACGCTCTCTCGTCGGCTGCCCATTCATTCCCATCCGCTTCTGATCCAACAGCGGCATGGATGCCAAGGTTCTCAGCCATTCCCTCACTACTAACTCCACACCTAGTAAGGTAAGCGCCATTTTCAAGTCATGGAGAGTCTCACCACGCTCTCTTGGGAGATTTCTTTTCTGCTGCGGTCGCAATTCAATCAAATAGAGAGCTCTCGCCGGAGGACTTTAACTCGTTTTGGGGACTTTTGATTCGGCTGATTGGTCGCGCTGGAAACTATTAGTGCTAACTTAAAAAGTACTCTAGTTTTTCTGGTACGATACTATTCTATGGTCAAAGGGGTTCGAAATTTTTAAGAAAAAAAACGTTTTTTCTTCTTTCGCAATCACGATTTTGCCACCAAGATTTGAGCGTTTTTTGCGCCCTCCACGGTAGATTCAAAGCACAAATTGGCCGTAAAATCGAGAAAAACTCATCTTTGTTTTGAATCGACCAATTCTTTTTTTCGTACAGCCCAACGACATGCGAGAAAAATAATAACCAGCCATTTGTTGTGCCGTGCCCCGATGGTGGGGTGGTTATTGACTTTCACGAATTGCAGAGTTATGTTCCGTCACAACGTTACTGCACAGCGCCGAATGTGGAGATTGGAGAATCGAAAACGAACCTCATCATAAATTATTTGCCTCAGGGCATGACACAAGAAGAGGTCAGATCGTTGTTCTCTAGTGTCGGTGAGATCGAATCCTGCAAGCTGGTTCGAGATAAAATGACAGGTAAGATTTGTCTTATTCTTTTATACGTTGAACTCATTGTACTGCTCATTATCTTAATAAAAAACGGAAAAATGATATTGTGATTAGACGGTTAGTGTCTTGTACGTAAATGCATCTCTTTGGTTTATTCTTGAGTTCAACCTATTCTGCACCTCTACAGCGTCGACCCATGTTCGAGAATGCTTTTTCAAAACCATTTAAGTCTCTTTTGAATGCTTTTTCCACTTTCGTTTTCCTTTTCGGCATGACCACAGCAATGCACATTATCGGCACGGATGATTTTTTGAAGTCTGTCTTTTTTGCGTCTTTAGTGATTGCAAAAAAAATTTATCTTGCGCTGGGTCAGTTGCTGTAGAGGTCATATTTTGGGCAAATAACGAATTTTTCCGGCGTAACGATGAAAACAAATTTTTATGGAACTTTTTTTCTATTACGTTAATGTAGCGCTGCTCCTATTCACGTGTCACTAGCTAGAGTGCTTCATATCACGAAGCCTGAATTTTGCCTTTCGCCACCTTCAACGCTCGTTTCTGTTGTAGCGCACCAACTCTTCGAGAAATTTCGTTTTTCGGTATTTTCTGTCGTTTCCTCGTAGATGCAGCTCTGAGCTCGTACGTCGCTAAGTTCTCTCTACTTTTGAGTGTCTTGGTTGCACTAACGCATCATAGAGTTTCTCTCTCAACTCGCGGGCCTCCGCTTACGAAGCGAAACACGAAGGCGAGAAGTGGTCTCCGCCGGTCCCTTAGCCTCATCAGCTGCTTTTGTTTGAGTTTTTTCGGTTCGGTTCGTGAGCGGTGGACGGCATTGGCGTGCGTTTTAGTGTCTATGCGTTCACTGTGTTTCTGGTTGCAGGCCAGAGTCTTGGTTATGGTTTTGTTAACTATTGTCGCGAAGACGACGCCCTCAAGGCCGTCTCCTCCTTCAACGGACTGCGGCTCCAGAACAAGACGATCAAGGTTACGTTGCTCCCAGATTACTACCTCCTACTCCTCCTCCTCGAGATCCTCTTCCTGCGCGCCACCACGTTGTGTGCATGCATCCAGCTGTGTAACGCCAACGCGCACTATCCCTCTCTCTTCTTTCATTCTGACAAGGGAGGGCCGTTTGGTCGAAGGGGAGTTTCTATAGGAAATGTATACCATCTTATAGAGTATGGAACGCTGATTACAGATTTGCTTTCGGTATTTGCTAAACACTTCTGTGAATGGAGTTATGGGAATTTTTCGAGGTAAAAGTGTAAGGATTTCGCTCAGGTAAAAATGGGTGTTGTGGTCTTTTCAGCGTTTGAAAGTGTTGATGACTAGCATATGTTTAGCAGACTGAACACTTAGTAGACATATTAACTGCATAAAACGCCCTGGCAGTAATCATGATCCATTCGAGCCCACGGACCACACGGACCACAGCTCCAAACTATTTCATTGTAGCCGCGCGTTCAAGTTTTTGCTCCAAAAAATTCCCATAACTCCCTTCCCAGAATCGCTTTGCAGATACCTAAGAGTAGATTTGGAAACAGCGTTTCATGCTCTATAAGATCCCTAACATTTCGTATGGAAACTCCGCTTAGACCAATGTCACTTTCCTTGTGAGCTGCTTCGAGCCGATCTCTCTGACTCGATAACAATGTGTTGTGAGCTGTTCGTAATCGTTTCCTCTTCCTGCTGTTCAGAGCTGGGTACACGCAGACACCGTTTTGGTTCACCAATTTTCAGTTCGCAAGTCATGTTACAGTAATTGTCTTCTGTCCGTTTCATATACATAGACATATTCTGCGTTTTTTCATTTACATTTTTCTCTTACGCTCCAACGCGTGTTGCTCATTCATTCACCCTAAGGCTGTTGTGCACTTGCAATACTTAGGAAATAACCCCGTTCACGAGTTAGATAATTTTTTGTTTGTTTGCTATATACACTACGGGTAAGTGCGAGGTTACAAATTTGGAAACTTGCTTTTATAACGTAAGCATAAGAAAAAATAAATATACGTTACGCTCGGATCGAGAACTAGTCTTTCACCCTTCAGTTTCTGAAATTTTTTTGAGAGACGAAAGAAAAATTATTGAAAATTTGCGAAAATACAGTGTCGTTTGAGCTTTATACAACTCTCAGAATCATTGTTAGAGTTGTTATTGAGTTTCCTAATTCCTATAGCAAATACATTTGGAAACGCTAAACTTTTGAGATAAATGAATGCAAAGTCAGATTTTTTCCGAGTTCTGCTAATTAGGTTCCCAGCAAAGAAATCGAATTTTTCCTTATGAAGGTGTCATCTGTCTGCCCACTTGAGTAGCTGTCATTAGCATAGAATTATCCAAACGTTTTTTCCAGGCACATACTGCCGCTTACAAATCTAATGAGAATTTTCCTCTGAAATCCCGCCATATTTTCGAAACACTATTTCAAATTTATTCGCGAGAATAGATTTTATGTTGAACAAATGTCACGTTGCAAGCTTTTCGGTATAATCAAACCATATTTTTTTCTTGTCCTGACAAAGAGATTGACAGTCGTTAGAATTTGAATAGCCCCATAAATTACCCTTAGTTTATAGTTGCACAAAATTTACGAAATTATTTGAGTCAGAAAGCCCACAAATGCCCACGCGAGCTCTTTGTGTGTGCGCATCATTTAGTATTCAATTTTGTCCTTTTTACGAGTTTCTTTCGCAATTGCACAAATTACAGGAAATTGTTGACGGCTGAAAGTTGTCGTTTTTCCATAACAGCCTGGGAAAAACCAGTTTGGCATTTTTGAGTGATTATGAATATAACAGGGGAATTGAGATCACCCATAAAAAGAGATTAATATACCCGATTTAGTACCATATCCTTACATGTGCAACTGCACACTTTTTGCATAATGCGCGTCTTATGCTTTCGTTCACCTGGCGTATGAGATCTCCGAAAACGTTACCAACTTCTCGGTTCAATAGAAAAAATGAGGAGAGATGCTGAAAACGATGTATGCGGAAGAAATGCGTTCTGTAATCAACAGAATCTGGGATCAAACGCGCCAAGTGTGCATTGTGTGCCGTTGCACATGTTAGGATATGAAACGACCAAACTGTATATTAACTGTCCGCACCATAAAAGTGGCATCTTTTACTGAACCTTCAAAGATGTTAGGCCAAAATAACGTCATTACATAGCAGCTGTTATGTTGAATGCCCTGGTGCGCAGAGCTTTTTTCAAAAATTGCCAAGAGTCGGGTAACCACTTGATGGGGCTGAGTAGATAGGTTTCAAAATTCTCTCTCTTTTCTCTGGATGCAGCTTTTTCTGTGTTCTTGCCTTTGGCTGTGAATGGACCCACGTGAAGGGCTTGCGCTCGAGCGCTATTTACATTGTATAGGATTACATGACGGGCGGCTGTGCATACTGTATGGATCGCGAAAGCGAAGCTACTTATGGAAATGAGAATATAGCCGGCAAAATTCGAAATTTATTCGGAATAGTTTCACGCTAATAAGGGGATATATACATATTTTTAGTTGCATCGCAATGCCTTTTCAAAGTTACTTCTTTTTCACCTATGGACAATACAAAGAATTTGGCAGATAGTCTACTGCATTTATATTCGCCAGTGATTTTGACTATGTGACATGTTGAGGCAGAAATTTGCATATCGAATGGAAACCCGCTATTTGATTTTCGATAACACTATTATTTGTTTTGAGTAGTTTTGAAGTAGTACGTATCTTCCTTAGCCCAAAAACTTCGAGTTGGACTTTGACGAAAAGGACAGAAATAAATAAATTATTAACGTCAAACTAACATTTGTAAAATTAATAGGTGTAGGTCTTCTAAAATATTATGTGCTTAGCAGTGGCGTACCCAGGATTTCGGCTCGGGGGGGGGGGGGCGCGACAAAAAAATTTTTCTAAAGAAGGTGCGTGGCGTTAGCCACGCACTCCGAAAAAATTTTTGGGGTGCTTCTCAAAATTTTTCCGGGTCCCCGACCCCTAAAATCTGGAAAAAGGGGGCGTGGCGTCAGCCACGCCCCCGAAAAAAAAATTTTTATAAGGCTAAAATGAATTTTTAAAAAATTTTAAAAATTATTTTAATTATTTACAAGTAAAAACAAGTCGCTTGCACATTTTTATAACCCATGTAAGTAACTTTCAAAAATTTCGCGACCCGTTCTCGGGGGGGGGGGCGCGCGCCCCCCCTCGTCCCCCCCCCCTCGGTACGCCACTGGTGCTTAGCTAGTGCTAGGTCAGTAAGCTTAATATATTGCTCCAATCCAAAATATCTTTCGTATGTGCAGTTTTGCGCAGATTGTTGCATACCGTCTGAAATCTTAGCAGATCTCATTTTTTGGGTATTGACCGCGAAATCGAGATCTCGCTGGGAAAGCGGGGTGATAGCGAAAACATTTGAAAATGAAATGTGCCTTGTTCGTCGGGAACTGATAGAAAAAATCTTGTGGATCAAGTCCAATAACTATACTTCTCCCAATTCTACTCCCTTCACGGCTTCAGGGCAAAACTAGTTTTTTTGCGCTTGAGAACGTTGCAGGACCGAAGAACCTTGCTTATTAACGCCATTTAGTATTTACACTTTAACTCAATTGGATATTGTTATTTATCAGTCAGCAAAGGGGCTCAATCTCAAGTTAATCAAAAGCTTTTCAACTTTTCAAGTGTAATAAATTGTTTAGAAATAGTTCCTTTAAATAATGCACACCAAATATTGTTTTCACAGTCACCGAACAAAGTCAAATCAAATTTGCTACAAAACCTTTCGAAATTTCCAGCTATAAAAAATTGGTTCAAAAATTGATGCATGAGTTTTTGCTTTTTAGTGAAACCAACTCCTCACAAAATTTAATTAGATGACTAATCGTAAGTTTCTTATGTCAAAGTAGTGGGCGTAGTTCTATCTCAAAGTTCTTCCTTCGCCAGAAAAAAATCCCATTTCATTCCGCTCCGCTGCTCTCCATATGTCCGCTCATCTTTTTCTTCGCTCTTTCATTATTCGTGTGCCGTTGACGAAGAAGTATAGCGCATTGTTTTAGGTTTCTTATGCTCGACCAAGTAATGAAAACATCAAAGGATCGAATCTTTACGTATCTGGTATACCAAAATCCATGACTTTGAATGAATTGGAAGCTATTTTCCGACCATTCGGACAAATTATCACATCACGAATATTGTCGGATAATATCACAGGTAATCTTTAATTTATACCGTTTTTTTGCAGTCTTTCAAATAAATTTTGAGTATTTTATTTTTTTTTTATGTGTATATACACTCACTCACCATAAAAAGACCGAAAACAAACAAAAAATCTGGACACAAAAGAAAAGACAAAAGACCAACCAATCCTCAGTCGCAGAAGGAAGAGGAGTTATGCAAATGGAAAGAAAATAAAATGAGAAATAAAACAAAATAGATAAAAAATTTTTATATGCTCACACCATTCTTCTTCTCGTCTTTCCCTGTAATATAATAACATCGACGCTGCATAATTGAAATTTCTCTTCTCTCAGCCTGAAACTCAATGCCATGTCGTCGTTTTTCTTGGTGAAATTTCCTCTAAATGAAGCGGCTGTGCCTTTTTTGACTAATGCGGTCGTATTACTGCTCATGCCATCCAAAAAAATTCTTGATGTGCGTTTTAAATGCGAAAGAATAAGAACAAGAGCTGAGATCAAAAAACGCAGGACAGTTTTTATTTTGTATTGGTTGACTAGTTACAAAGCAATTTTCTGTTCGAAATTTCTATCATCTTCCTTGTCATGTTTTTTTTGTATGCAGAGGGGGAGGGAAGTTAGCAAAAATTTTTTTCCATGGTAACGAACAATTTTTCTTACACACTCGAAAACAGTGGTTTTGAAAAATTTTTAGTCACTACTAAATCATAATAATGCGCAGGAACGACTGAAAACTTTGGCATTCATTATTTTGTGATTCGTGCAGACCATTTCTGTTTCCGCGTTTTCCACGTTCCATTCTCGCGGGGGGGGGGGCAGGGAGGAGGGAGGAGGGGGAATTAGGATATCATGTAGTTATTCTATTTCAATCCTTTTCAAGAAAATTTGATGCTTTTAGCCTTAGCTCAGTATTCTTTGTGTAAAATTCAGACAATCCTTGGTTGTCTTCAATGTCATAAATACATTATTTCTAATTTTTGAGTCATTGTTGATTATTGAATAAATTTCTAGGTTTATCGAAAGGTGTAGGATTTGTGCGTTTCGATAAGAAAGAGGAAGCAGAGCTTGCCATACAAACTCTGAACGGTACGGTACCAGCCGGCTGTGTAGATCAAATCACTGTAAAATTTGCCAACAATCCTGCCACCAACACTGCCAAGAGTGTGCTTCAAGAGGTTTGTCCCGGAAGTTCCGCAGAAGTTCTGCACTTTTTGATCAAACGCTATTTTAGCTCGAGGCTGTTCAACAAGTGGCTGCGTCTAATCTTATGCCCCTTACCTTGCTCAGTGCAGCAGCACCCCTTCGGTCCGCCATCGGACCCATTCATCATGCCCCTCTTGCTGCCAAATATCGGTAATTCATCTATTCCTTTCCGATCTTTACTGAATCTGATGAATTCTCTATAGGTATTCTCCCCTTGCCACCGCATTACCTGGAACCGCTCCAGCTGTCACTGCTCAAGCTACTGCGGATTACCTCACGACAATGCTGCAGATGAGCCAGATGAATGCCCTCGCCGGTAATAATCTCATTATCTCAGACAACTGCATCGGGAAGTTCGCGGGCGCTTGCTCGACCAGCAATCATCCATGCCGCGAGCTGCCCGGTATAAACCGATATTGGGCCCGATAAGTGACCGCGGCGCATCCTGTAAGCGCCCGATGTTGACCCGAATAGCATGCTTGTGAGACCTAGGAAGAGTGAAAAAATTTTGGCATGTCTTTCATGACAACGACTGACTACAAATTGAGCAACTTGTTAGCTCAACTTCGACATCATCTTCCGTTGTCGATAACACTCAACCGATTGCTGAAGTTTGTTTCGTGAGCATATAAACTCAACTGTCACACAACTCAACCCGAGAAACGTTTACCAGCCATACAAACACTTAAGGTAGCCCCATCACTGCGGCGTACTCACGCGGGTTGCGCCTTAAGCTACAGCGTGTAAGAAGTGCGGCCTTTGATAAGGCCCGCGGCACGCCGAGTGAGGTATTGGGCCGCGACTCTCCCGGTTAGCTCTTTCCTAATTTGACTTTGGCCGCGGCGTTCCCGTTAAAATATACATGGGCCGCGGCGTGAGCGGCTAAAACTTTGAGGGCCGCGGCGCACCATGTAGCACGCTTTGAGGCCGCGAACTTCCCGATGCAAATGTCTGAGATTGTGCACTTAAATTTTTTTGGCTTAATTTACTTCTTACCTGAACGAGGGAATCATCGACACCAAGAGATAGGTCGCAATAAGAGCTGACCCTGCAAGTCATGTTGTAGCTCTGATAAGAATTTTTTTTCAAATTGAGAGTGAATTTGACAGCTTTTAACAAAAGTGTAGCAGTATCAAGACGAGCATTTCCAAAGCCTTGTATGATGTAATAGTTTTGACTACAGTTGAGCAATTTTTTTCTTTTTCAAATCTAAAAGGTAACGTATCCCGAGTACTCCCGACTCCGTCTTCTTATATATGAGAAATGCAAATCATTACGTCCGTATGACTCTGACTCGGCAAAACCAAGCAAAAAAATCTTTGCTAGATTTGAAGCCAAGGAAATAACTAACGCACTAATTTTTCTCAATTTTCTTTGAACTACTGCCTATGGCCTAGATTCACTTCATAGTGGAATCTTCCTCTTGGCAAAATCTCCTCGCATCTACCCGGCAAAAGCTGAGGAATTGAAACATAAGAGGAGAAAAAGATAGCCGAATTTTGAGCTCACCGTTCAAGTCAGCATCTTTGGCCCACTTTTAGATAATTGGGATTTAAGCTGACCACAGAGCTAAGAAAGTGCATGAGCATCCGCAGAAAGCGCCAGGATGATGTCCGTTGAAGTACATCCTACTTATGTTAAATTTCGCATGTCGCAGTGCTAGATTGCAAACCTACCCAAAATGCTCAACTCGAATACCATAGAAACTCCTTACGACAATTTCTCGAGGGCAAACCACTTTTTTGTCGGAGTTCACCTCGGATTCTCGCGCGAGTTCCGGTGATGTTTCGTTTCACGCGCAGCAGCGACAGAATGCAGGTCATAATGAGTGCATGAAGGTCGTTTTCGTGCGCGCAGATGTATTCCCATATGCGGTTATTGGGGGGGGGGGGGGGCACCGCACTGGTTATTGCAATATGCGCGGGTGGTTTTTCCACCCGGGACGGATGGACCGGTGTACTTTGTAATTCGACAGCGCGCGCGCGCTTGCCTGCCATAATAATAGGCTCAATTGCATCGAGAGAGAGGCGCAAACGGGGGGAAAGGGGGCTCCGCGATCGATGCCCTAGCCGCTGATTCTGCTCAGAACAAAGTAGAACAGGATATGTTTGTCTTGATTTGAAACGCTGCCAATTAGCGGCCGATTCGACGAGTTTCCACTTTGCCGTTCTGGTATCTCGATCGCCGCTCGAGTGCCGCCAGTCAAGAGGGTGCGAACGACGCGAACATGGCTTACGCGACCGAAAATAAACAAGTTCTTCTTCGAATTGCATGTTGTGGTAAACAGGCTTACCAAGCGCAAAAAGATTCTGAAATTTGTTTACAATCAGTAGCTTCGATGCTTACTATGGTGCCCTCGCGGTGACGGCCACATTTGCGCGGATGGAATTGCCATGCTTTAAATGCCAATAGTTTACTAGAGCATAGATTGACAGTGTTTTACGCACGACTGTTGTCGGCAACAGAGCTATGTAAACCTTCATATCTACTAGATTTATTTCAATATATGTCTCAGCTCGGTAGCAAGGCTCAGTTTGTGAGATTGCACACCGCACGCAGCATCTTACGCACTTATTGGTAAACGCTGGATTAGTACCGTTTTGATTAAACAATCGTCGAAGTTGATCAGTTGCACTGATTGAATTACATTATGATTCAAAAAGAATGAAAACGAAAATAACACTAAAAATTGGCAACTTATCTTGTAAACCGTGGAATACGGCGCGTGTTGTGCAATACACACAGGCTACGACACGGCTGAAGAACGTTTTAAGACCTTTGAATGATAAAATGAGATCTTGCACGTGGGTCATTAGTAAATTTCAACCTGGTTGAAGTATAGGCTAGTCATTACAACAAATACAATGCTTCTGCGCTGAAATCCGCCGACAATATTTGCGCGTGAGCAAACTGCCAGAGGACGCAAAGAAAATTTGTGCTCTTTGGCCATTTTACGCGCGCAAATCTCTAGCATTACAAGCGCAGCGATTTGTTGACGATCATATGTTGTCGGCAAATGTCGACCTGCTAGGATTTTATATTTGAACTCAGATTTAGTAGACTACACACATAGCTTTCTGACAACACAAAATGTCCACCACAGATGGAAGAGCACCTGGCCGACTATCGTGATACGTCATAGACATTCTGGGCACACTTTTTCATGCTTCGGCCAATGTCACTCGAAATTTCTCCATTTCATCTTTGAGTTTTTGCATATCCTCAAGGGAGCTTGCCCACGTATTTTTCGGGCAACATAACCACTTACCCGTAAGCATTTACTTGATTATATGCAGGCGAGCTGGCAGAAAAAAGTAATCATATTTTTGGATGACTGTAAGACCGCACATGTTCTTGTAATTCTTATTTCTCAAGTGCATGCATTTTCGTGCGTTAACAGATAAGTTGAGTAGACGCTTAAGTAGTCGATGCCTGGTTACCAAATCAACAATGAGAAAGATAATGCAGCAATAGCAGAAAAACTTAGAGCGCTTTTACTGCTCTTGAATCTTAGGTGCTCATAAAATCGGTGGTGAATGCGATTTTTACAATCACGCGCCGTTGCGCGGGGCTTTTCGATTACAGCGTGTTTCGCAGATGCATTAGCAATTCCCCGCAATCGCTTCATATGCCAGAGGACTAACAATTTGTAGGTTGTGGATATTAATAAAATAAAAAATTGTATCAAAATTCCGGATCAGATGGTACTAACTTAAGGAAAGTAGACTGAAGTACGACCTTCCCCGGAACTTCTCTATAGTAAGGAACGCCGTTAAAAAACTCGAAAATCATACAAAGGACTAATTGAATCTTTCTTCTAACGTTTCCTTGTGTAAATTGAAAGTTGAATTTTACCTGTGAAAATAAAAAGTTGCTTTGCAGGAATGGCTGCTGCTGCTGCGCCTACGGCTAATCCTCTAGCTGCATTGGCTCCGGCTGCGGCTACGACCGAACCAGCTGGGTTCTGCCTTTTCGCATATAATTTGAGCCCTGACACAGAGGATAGCCTTCTTTGGCAGCTTTTTGGCCCATTCGGAGCCGTGCTCAGTGTTAAGGTTAGTAATTTATGTTTTCCATGCATGTTGGCAAGGGTGTGCGACCCGTAACGGCTAGGTCTGAAAACGTTGAAGGCGGTATCCAAGCAAAACTGGGTTTTTGGATTTTGTGGAGCCGTGTGGTGAGGTTTTTGTAAGTCATTGTCCAACAGCAGTTCATATCAATAATTCATGGCCCACAATCCCAACTAAACACCAGCCGCTTAGAGGGTACTTTCCACTTATTCGGGGGTGTTCGATCGCTCGTAAGAATTACGGTTCGAGCGAAGCATAAAGTTGTATTTTCTTGGCCACGAGTGGATCATATGAGCTGCTGCTTGCGCAGTGCCTTCATTAAAAACTTCTATTTGATTTGATAGGAGACCAGGTTTTCTGGGTGCGACTATACATTGATTTTGAGCTGGGCCAAACCTGGTGATTTTGGGGACTATTTTAGAATATGATACCGTCATCGTGTTTTGTCGATGATTATCTTTTTCCTGCTGAACCCTTTCTTCGATTTCATGATTTCGTATTTTTCCATATAACGATTTTTCGGTGTAAGTCTGCTCAGAATAAGAAGCATCGAATGTGTCTAGGGTATTAATATGTATTGTATATGGGTGTGTGATAATGAGCATTTCCTTCACTCTATGTCCATCCAATTAACGACGGCGAAATCTATGAGAATGACAGATCCGTTCAACGGGAACATTTTCAGCGCTGAGTTCCTTTTGACTGTGTTATTAGGCGGTATTAGTTTCAAATCTCTACAATGCTTTCTATCGCTATAAAGGAGAGAAAAAGACGGGAGTTTATGTCCCATTGTGTGGCCTGCAAGCGGGATTTACTCGAAATTTTTATACTCAAGTAGAAAACAATACTTTCATGTTCTGCATTACCGTAGTCTGTTGGGGTACTGTAAATAGATGGAGATGTGTGCTCCTACATAGCAAATGATGAATGCAGTGGTTACCACTGTCGCCTGTATGACCGAAATATGTTTTAAATATCATTGACTGTACTTATTTAGGGAAAGGTTCCGCTAGTAGAATGTACAAGAAGATTTATTTTGTTAAACTGAGTTATAAATTTTCTTCTTAAATGGTAAAATAGCCACTTAAAATGAAAAACGCGTCGTTGAACACGGGTTTTTTCGTGTCGCACACGTGAAGTTCCACCTTTATCGCAGACAGAGGGGACGGTTCATTTTTTTGTGATGGTGAGAAGGGTCTGAGGATTTTATCCTGTGTTTCATAAAAATATAGGCCATCGCGCCACCGTAATGCTCCGTCCGGACCACCGCCGCAGACATATCCTGCGGCAGTTTTTGCTTAGGCAAGATGAACGAAGGAGAAATGCGCCGTGTGCGCGATTTGTTCAGACGAGTCACGCAGGATGGTTGCTGGATACTGTAGTGCAAAACGGCCATCCCTCTTATTCTATTCTCATTTGCAGGTGATTCGGGATTTCGCGACGACGAAGTGTAAAGGCTACGCGTTCGTGACGATGATGAACTATGCGGATGCGTGTAATGCGATAGCGGCTCTAAACGGTACCCAAATCGCCGGACGATCACTGCAGGTTGGGCTGGCTGGCGTCTCGCAATGAACACCAGCAATCAAGTCAGTTCCCTAGCTAGTATCCGCTTGCAACCACTACTACTATACAGCTGTAATGAGCAAAGTGCAAATTAGTCGGTACACGGCGGCAAACTCAGTGCAAATTACGCTTGAATTACCTTTATCAACATTGAATAGTTGGCTGTCCGTAAAGTCTTTTTTTGCTAATCCTTAGAGTGCTCCGGTTTGTCTAGTGAGTTTTGCTCGCTATACAAAACTTTAGAGTGAGGAGGAGGGGGATTTAGTAATTTTTGACTGAATTTTTGGTGACAAACTTCGCTTATTAAGCTTTATTCTGAAGCTTTGAAAAAACAGATAATGGGGATTGGCTTTGCTATTAGGAACTATTTGTGGAATGCAAAAAATAATGAGAAAAGTAGGCCCATCTTAGCCTGGCAGGCAACATCTAGAATATAGTAAATGTCATGCAACATGCGGCAAGTGATTATAAGTTTTATGTGCAAGTGTTATCAACGTGATACTGAAAACGTAATTTATTTCGCCTTCCTGTGGGAATTTCTTTTAAGACGAAAGCTCGAAGCATACCGGTCATTTTCAACTCATTTTCTTTTTTGGGGCTAAATTGTAATTTTCGAGCCCACTTTTCAATATCTACCAAGGAAAAAACTGAGTGTATTGAGGTATTTCTTGGACTCGAACGGAGATGGGAAGTCGAACTATCTGAGATTTTACATTTTTTTGAAAAAAAAAAGAGCTTTAGTTAATCTAACTCAAATATTAATTGCAGATACCATTTATTTTGCGCGTCATCTCGGATCTTGTTGTTTTTTAATTTTCAAAAGGCTAAAAACGTTTCCTTTGGGTCTCTAAAAACAGACCAAGAGCAAGAAGCTTACGTGAAAAATTCTCCGAGATTTTACGCCCCAACTGCATAATGTACGCAACCGCACGCATTAGGTTGATTCAGCTTTATCCTTATGACTTTGCATATCTACTTCGCCCGATTAAAGTTAAATCAAAAGGCACGCGATTTGGCGACTTGCCAAATATTTAAATCATCGCTGTAGATTACAAATATACCATTTGATTCAACTGGCTTGGCATCGGCAAAGGCGGGGCTTCGTGACTTAATTAATTAAGGCTAGGTAATGATCAGAGAGCACTCGCGAGAGAGAGACGCAGGTGCGTCGCTGGCGCGAGCGGGCCTCAGTTAGATCACGAAACCCCGCCCTAATGGTGCCAAGCCAGTTGAATCAAATGTTATAGTGTCTGTTTGTATAAAGGGCCGGACATACTTCACGCGATTTCACTCACGACGCGATTGGCAATTCGCCAGAAGTCTTCAGATCCAACACTAGCAAATTGCACATGCATAGTGTGTATAACTTACGTGATGATAGAATGCCCTATCTTCTGTACATTTGAAATGCGCTTACAGTGAGTTGTGGACAGTTGGAATATTACCACATCGTGTCGCAACTGAAATCGCGTGAAGTATGCCCGTCCCCTAACGTTTCTTGATTTAATGGCCTAACTTCTATTCATGATGCCATTACGATGAGTTATAAACAATTAATGTTTTGCCAAATCGCTGATGTAGCCAAGGACCTTCGGGGTCTGTAACTGCGAACATTACATACATGCGTAATTCCAGGAAGAAGAATAGCTTTTTGTTTGTTTATAAACTCAGTTGTTGCCGTTCAGCGGCTTGTTTTGTCAATAGCCACTAATTGTTTACAAAGGATCAAATACGAGCTGCCATCTTCGTCCGAACATTTTGAGCTTGTTATTTGCAGCGCAGCGTGTACAATTTATATGACTACAGGGCAACAAAAGTGCATAAACGTATCGAATTGATTTCATCAAAATTGAAATCGTTATTGCTTTCGTAGTCTCGCCATATTGGAGCATCGGATATCATAACCGGACGTTGTGCGGGATTTGAACAAGACAAATTTTATGGAGGGACTGGTTGAAATGCATATCCACGCGAGAAGTTTGAGGGAAAACTTGCTATTTTCCATTTATTCTGCGAGAGAGCACAAGCGAAATCCAAGGATACTTTTCACTCTTAGATATCGGATCTCCTCACGCTGTTTTTTTATTGCAAATTCTTCTTTTTCCGAAAAGATGTGAAGAACATAGGCAGTGCCCAGGCAGGGCCTTAGGCTTTGACTGAGCCATTGCCTAAACTTCAGCGGCGCTATTCCACATAAGTTGACCCAAAAAACGAGGATCGTGAATTTCGCTAAAACTTCGTCTAGGTAGGTTATTTGGTACGCTGAACACGAATATGATGTTAATTTCGTGCGACAGCGCCATTCGGTGGAGTTACGGTAGGATTACGGTAGGGGTTCAGAATCACAGATTTGCCCGAAACTTGGCCTAGAGGGGTTATTCGGCCCGCTGACGCCGAAAATCACATTGGTTTCGTACTGTAGTGTCATTTTCTCGAGATACGGTGGGTATACGGTAGGGGTTCAAAATCTCGAAATTCGCTGTAACTTTGCACAGAGGGGTTACGACACGCTGATTAGAAATGTCACACTTTCTCCGCACGAAAACGTCTCCCTGCATGGTTACAGTAGGTTTACGGTAGAGGTCAATATCACAAATCGGCAAATGTATCTTTCTCCTGTGCTTTGCTTAGGCAAAAGCCGCAGTAGAGTGTGTAGCGCGCGGGGGTGGTTATGTGTGCAAAGCTTCACGATCATCCGAATCGCCATACACCCGTTTCAGGCAGAACTATGTTTTACATTTAACGTGTATCTACCGTAACCGGAGAAAATGACGCTACGGTTCAAAACCAATGTGATATTTGGCATCAGCGGGCCGAATAACCCCTCTGGGCCAAATTTCGGGCAAATCCGTGATTTTGACCCCTTACCGTAATCCTACCGTAACTCCACCGGATGGCGCTGTCGCACGAAATTAACATCATATTCGTGTTCAGCATACCAAATAACCCCCCTAGACGAAGTTTTAGCGAGATTCACGATTTTCATTTTTTGGGTCAACTTATGTGGAATAGTACCACTTCAGCTCATACAATTGAATTTTGGCACAAAAATTCAACTCTAAACTGTGGTCCAGACCGTAATCACTACCGCCTACTCGAACAATGAACGATCCACTTGGAAAGATCATCTGTTTGAGAAGTTCGGGAGCTCAGATTGGCCCGCACACTGTCTCCATGCGAAAATAACTAAAATAACCCTTCACCAAAACTTTGATAAAACGAGAAAAATAAGTAAGAAACAATAAGAAACGTTTCTTATCTACAGCTGACCGTACATTCTGGCTTATCTATGAGTGGATCAGTGATTCTTCTTGAGCTTGAGAAAAAATGTGATTACTACGTTTTCGTTCTTTTCTGAGTGTGACAAGTTCCTAATGGTATAATAATCAAGATGCAGCTCTAGTTCAGTGAAATAGTAAATCATGAATAAACGCTAAAAGGTTGCGAGCAACTACTTAATGTCTTTCGTATATGTTTTGGAATGTTTATCTCTTTGGGACCAAATAATTTTTTTGATTTCAGGTGACGTTCAAAGCTGCTTCGGCAGCAAGCTCGTTGATATGATGTCGACCATATCTGTGCTGTGCAATCGGTTAAACGGATCAAGTGTCTATTCAAATATCATTACCCATAAAGTGCCCTATATAGTGAATTTACTGAAAATTGCCTGTCTTATGTGAGAAATATGTGCGTTCTTTTTCCAACATGTGCTAATTTCCTCTTGCTCTCGGATTCTTCGATTCCTGATTAGTGTTCGCGTAAGTGTATCTACCTAGAGCTGTCTGTGTGTGTAACCAAAGCAGTCGAAACTAGTCCTCCATCATCCATATCTGGTCCCGTGATTATACTTGAGCTTTCTCAGCAGCTTTACCGCGCAACGACTGCAACGTTGCTGAGATTCTTCTCTCTCTCTATCAGAGCGATTCTTCTCCTTCAGATTTTTTTTAGCAAGCGCAAGCTCCGGCAGATCTCACCGTCTGCTCTTCGTGTCCACTCTTCCACACCTCCTGCACGTGTTGCGATTACTCTTCCCAGTATTGAACGGTCTTGTCAGAAATTTCTGGTTCTCTCTGTGTTTTTTCAGATTTTTTCGCCAAGCGTTTTTCTCTCTTGTTTTCGTCTTTGTATCATAGTTTCTCAGCGATGGGTATGTGAGCCAAATGCATATTTTACTTGCACGTTGTGATACGAATCCCAGAAGATTGCTATCATTGCTAATGATTTAATAAAAGAGAATGTGTCAACTAAACGTCGCCAAGCAGAATGTTTGCTTCAGTGTGGAGATTTAGTTCCGCTTTTATAGAGGCCAAATCTATGTTGCACTTGGTTATATTCAGTTTTTCGTTCATACTTTTTTTGGTTTTTTTACATGGTTTATGCGTCGTATATGTGGATTGTTCCTTGCATGTAGCCATTTGCTTTTTATAAATCTTGCCTAACTTTTCGGTTGTGTTTCGTGCTACAACGTAGAACAGTGATAGAGTGATGTCGTATCAAATATTTCATCAAGGTAATAACGCTGAGTTTATGTTAGAAATGCAGCTTACTTTTTCAATGCTCACAAAGAAAGTCTGACAGGAACTGAAACTTTGTTTTTTTGTATATAGCATGTCCCAAAAAAGTGGACGCCATAGTTCTGGTAACTCTGTGCCCCAGCGCTTCACCTCAGGTTTACTGTACAGGAAACATCTATCTTTTGGTGTCGAGGTAACATAAACATGACATTTTGAAAATTTTCAAAATTCAATTATTAGGTCGGCACATAAATTGGCAAGCATTCAAATTTTGGTATTATGTAGACACTGAAGTGAGCTATAAGTCTGCGCAAACCGCTTGATTTTCTAGGGCAAAATGGAAAAAAATCCATGCATGTTTCCAAAAGCGGTGAAAATTTAGATTTTACGGTCATCAGCAAAAGCGAAGACATACAGACAAGAATTGACCAAATTCAGCATTCCGGAACTGCAGGCATTATGTTCCCACAGGTTGACTACTGACCCCCAGCGGAAAATTGTAATTCAAAGTCAGTCCGAAATTTGAATTTCATGAATCTGAACTAGCCACATGCATCAGACGTGTTGTACACGAATATCATATTCGGCTTTGTCAGAGTTGAAAACTGGCTCAGTGACTTTTTGTAAGTCAGTTTTTTGGCAGCCAAATAAGCTTTTCATGGAAAATACTACTGTTTTCGTAATCAGGATGTCGAATAACCGCCTAAACCAAGTTTTGTCTAGATCCGTGCAATCACATTTTCTTTCCCATTGAGAAATTGCCTTACCGTAACTCTCAAATGAGATGTTGAGCTTGCTCCTATGATAAACGTTATAGTATAAAAAAATGGGAGCGCCGCATTCAAAAAGACGAAAGTTGTGAGAAAAAGTTGCAAAACTTATGTGCCAACCTAATACTTTTTGATAGATAAGCTAAGCTTCCCGATAAGGCCGCGTCTAGAGTTGCCGGAGCCAGCGCCGTTCCAGCCCCGTCCCGGAGCATCGAACGGTCAGTACAACTACGCACACTTGAGGCCCCAATGTGGTAACAAGTGATCTCAATATTGACCTTAAAGGCAGCGTCCAGGCAAATCTGGACCTACGAGGGTTTTACGTGGAAAGTATTAGGACGGGGGTTTTACGTGGAAAGTATTAGGTTGGAAACTAAGTTTTGCAACTGGTCAATAACTTTCCTCTCACTCAACGTGGCGCTCTCAAATTTTGCCACTGCGTTGGTTATTACGTAAGCTACAAGCGCAGCTACTGTCCTACCAAATGCTGACGTCGCAGTGAGAGTTACGGTAGGTGCATGGTATGAAGGGGAAAAATTCAAAGTTTGACGGATTTGGCTGAAACTTGGCATAGGGGTGTTATCCGACATGCTGATCACGAAAACGATAGTGAAATTGCGTGATAAGGGTTTTTTGTAGGATTGTGCAGGTGTACGATATGGGGTCTCACCCTAAACAAGGAAAAAGGCGTTGATTAAACAAATGAATGTGATATTCGCGTTTGGCAGGTCAAATAACCTTACTATGTAAAGTCTCGGCGGAATTTAAGCTTCGGACTCTTTAGTCATTGACGGTCGTCCCCAGCAGCTTTTGCGTACATCGACTCGTTCGATTTTATGAGGACGCCAAATCTCGACATGCCCCTAAATTTTCTTTCTTTATTACTAGGCCAAAGGAATCATCCTCCAGCAATAAATTATAGACGAATCCGGATTACTGCGCATGGTCTTGGCTGCCAAAGGCTTCATTTTAGCTTGAAACCCCAAAAATTCACAAATTTCACTAGTTTCCAAAAAACGCCTGAAACTTTTCTATTTCGTGTTCAAAATTTAGACAATTTGTGCTCACTTGTAGCTCACATTGCCTTCTACATAATGCCAAAGTTTGAGTGCGCCATATCCAAAGAGAGCGGAGTTATGAAACTAGTTGCAAAACTTAGTTTCCAGCCTAATACTTCTAGGGTCCTAACTAAGGCAGTACCCTAGCGGCGCGCAGGTAGTGCTCTAACGGCTGAGATATTCCCCTCGAAAGTGGACCCGCGATTGTATTCGCATGGATTCATGGCAGTTTCGCGCCAATCCACGCTTTGCGCCATGAATCCATGCGCAATGCGATCGCAGGGTCCAGTTTCGAGGGGAATATCTCAGCCGTTAGAGCACTACCTGAGCTGCCGGTTGGGCAGTGGCTTAGTTAGGGCCCCAAAATTACTATCCACGTGAGATCCCCATGTGTCCAAACTTGCCTGGACGCTGCCTTTAAAGGCAGTGGCTCGGCAAATCTCAACTCAAATTTGCGCTTACCTAGGGTTTTTCAATACGCTGATCCCGAAAATCCACTATTGAAAGCTTGAAAACGGCGAAAATGAGCGTTTTTTAATGCCCTTCCCTTTGATATTGGACGAGTGGAGCAAGGCCGATGACGCTAAATCGCGGCAGGACCCAATGTTATAGCGTTGCGGCGGGGGGTGGGGAAACGAACACCTCAATCAGGCACCCCTTCGCGGGCTGCTGGTCCTTTCGTCCTACTGTTGTGCATCGCGTTAGGACCAGTAGTCCGCTGAGGCGGTGCCTAATTGAGGTGTTCGTTCCTCCACCCTGCGGCGGGCAGCCTCCAATGGTGAGAAGGAAATTGCCAACTCGTCCAGATGCGTGTAAGATTGGCCTGCGCGTGTAAGTTCGAGAGCGATTTTCTCGGCAGGAAAAGCATGCTGTGCAACCGGGATTGCACTGTTTTCATAGTTGGGCGATAAGGATCCTACCGCGTTAAAATCCCGAGTTGTTGATTTTGCCGATCCACTGCCTTTAAGGCGTTGGCGACCTTGTGCATTCGCACGTATGCACGACATGACTCCGGTTCAAAGGCAGTGTCCGGGCAAAAACTCGATTTTGAGATTTTGTGCTTACCCGGGCCTACTCGCTATGCTGAATCCGAAAATCCACATTAGAGAGCACGAGAACGACGAAAAAGGGCGAGGGAAATCAGCAAGTGGGCGGGGTCTTCCCCAAGGTGAATTCACGCTCCCAGCTTCGGGGGCGATCTTTTTGATTCCGCTTTCAAGTCATTCGTTTGCACTTGATCGGTAGTGATGTCAGGGCGGCTAACGCATTCGAGAAAATTGCTCTGGAAGCTGGAAGCGTGAATTCACAGTGGGGAAGACCCCGCCCACTTGCTGATTTCCCTCCTGTGTTGAAGCCCTTTTTCGTCGTTTTCGCGCTCTCCAATGTGGATTTTCGGGTTCAGCATAGCGAATAGGCCCGGGTAAGCACAAAATCTCAAAATCGAATTCTTGCCCGGACACTGCCTTTAACATTTTCCTGGTACGCGCGTATGCAGCTAAGATAGCGAAATTCCCAGGTGACATTTATGCAGTTATGATTCTAGCTAGTGGCCTCATTGACATATAGAACACAGGGCACCGCGGTGGGTGCAACAGAAAAGTATGCTCCTTGCACCCACCGCGATGCTCGTTTTGGACTTTCCACTCACAAGTACATGAGACTAAGTCCACTCGACATTCACCCAAAACAAAGCAAAGTCATTTAGAACTGAAACAAAACGCTTGCAATTTTTGGAAAAAGTTAAGGGCAAAATGATTTTTTGTAGCGAGTGCACCTCCTTTTCAGCTTTATCTTGCTTTCGAGCGGCATCCGATCCAAGACGGCTTGCCACTGGTAGCAGCTGATACATCGACGCTTTGAGATGGGACCTATTTTTTCGAGCTCGATCAGGCAATGTTTCAAACTTTAGAGAAATCAGAATCGAGCTTCAGGATGCTAGCCACGATTTGTCTTTGAAAACTGATGATTTTAGTAGGTCTTCCTGTATGCATTTTGTAGAGATTCGGCGTTAACAATGGCGATGTGGCATCCCATGCAAAGGAAGATTCTGCGATTAGAACCTCTTAATCTTCCTAGCGAAAGGTACATAAGCAGCCTTCGATTCAATATATCAGTGAACGCTTTGCCTGCATGCAGTCAAAAATGACTCTTGGCTTTAATCAAATGTCCGCCTTCTGCATGGTGACATGAGGACGTCCGTTTTATCTCTCTATTTTTGAGCACTAACATTTCGTCCCTTCTTTGTTGCGCAACCACGCGCCCTCTCTTCAGCTTTCGGTTGTACCCACTAAATGTCGTCCTGCCGCAGTTGAGAAGAAGTCCCACTAAGTCCATTACGACACTTCGGTCACTGGATCGTTTCTAAGGTAGTCCGGTCTTACACACAGTAGGCGGATGAGTTGTATGTATCCGCTATTTAAACAGATTATAAAAATACTACTTACCATACTTGTACCTTTTGTTTTATGTATTACCGAAATCAAAGCCTGCCACGAAACGGAATCAAACTTTCATCGTGCAGATACACTCTCGGGGACGAAATGCATTTCTGCAGTTAGCTGAAGAGATCGAGGAAATCTTGAATTTTGCACAACTTCCCCTTATCTAAGCTGCCATTGTCCACAAAATATGGACTTCAAAATTGCAAGGAATTGCTTTCTTGTCTAAACTTCGAGCAGATCGGATGCCACCTTCTGCAAAATCTGAAGACCATTAGAAATAGAATCGCAACGATTTTTTTACATCTCGTCCGGTTCTGTGGGGGATAAACCAGCGTTTTTTTAGACCTTATTGATTAGTCTCGTACGCAATAAGATTGATACGTACATAGTCGACCATGCAAACCAATAGTAGCGGTCCTTTAATAAATCTAGACGCATAGAAACATTATTAGAAAACTGAAATCTTGGCAATCTCCTTACTCCACGCAGAGTCGGCCACATCCTCACTGCCGCTCTCAAGTCCTCAAAACAATTGCTTGCGGCATCGGAAGGCGTCATCTTGTTGCAGAGTCTAGAAGAAGATCTTTGTAAGAAACATCCGAATTAACTTACTTTTCTCTAAAAGCCTGAAATCAAGTGGGAGTATTTATGAGGAGAATCATATAGTGTGGTATTAGTTTTATCTTTTCCTCACGTGAATACTTCAAGATGAACACCGAAGAAAAACAGCAATACTGCTAGGATACCAACGCGGTCTAGATAAGATCGTTTAAAACTCTAGCCAACAGTAAGAAAGAACAGTTTGAAAACAGTTAAGAAAAGAGTAGAGAATGTTGAAAGCGATCCCAACGGTCATTTGGCTGAGAAAAAACTTATCACCTTTCAAAATAAGGGAATTCCAAAGAAAGCCTCAAAGAGGAGAAAGAGAGTAAATGAATTCAGATAAGCTTCTTACATCTATATTTGAGTTCTGAAAGATCATTAAGAAGAAATTTACCCTCAACCGGTTTCGGGCCTTAGAACTATACCGGTAGAGCAGCCTTCCTGGAGGCCCTCTTCAGTAGTTCCTAGGAAAGCTGCAAAAGTTCATGGAAGCATATACGTTAGTGCTATTAGAGAGTCCAAAGGAGTTAGCCAAATGTAAGTGAAACAAAAAACGAGGATAACGGTAGGAATGCGGATGAACTATGTGCAAATGAGAAGAGATATGTGTAAATGAGATGAGATCCCGCCATCTACTCTGATATATATGTGTGCCTGGTTTGAATTCGACCTAATTAATCTGGCGCGCGGGCGCATGCAGCATAATGGTGAGATCAAATATTGAAAATTACTGGAATCTAAGGCTTCCCAGGCCTATGGTCTTAGTGCATACGGTTGCATTCGCGGAGGGTATTTAAGCTTAACTGTGAGTATTATGGAGACTATACCTACAAAAGTTTGAACCTCAAATTAATTTCTCAGTGTAATTATCCAACTAAAAACACTGAGTTAGCGTATTCCCGCAATGACATTTGTGAATTGAAATCATGTCTCCCAAAGACGCAGCATCCGTGAGAGAGGCATGTCGTATTCCTATCCGTTGAGAATATGAGAGTTCCGTTCACTGAGATCAAGAACAGAATTTTTTGCTTCCTTCTCTCTTTGTTTTCAGGTATGACCTGCATACGGACGACTGAGTTTACAGTCTGTCTCAACTGCAGTTGCGCACCCTGTGCGCGCAGTTGCGCATAGTCGCCTCGCCTGCCCATCTCGGAACAACGAAGTCGATCTGACTCCTCAAAATAAACATTCGTGAATGTCGTGCGAGGCTGAGTGCAATCGTGAGACACTTCAATTGGAACTATTGAAGAAAGCGTGAAAGTCGCGCTCTTCAGAATTTCACGCGTTCTGGAATAGGCTTTTGTTCCTTCTAGTCCAATTTACGTTAGAGGCAGTGTATACCCAAAATTCCAATTCCATGTTATTGTCACTGGATCTTCAGGTCCTGATTTCAAATATGAAGTCCAAATCGTGAGAAAGATTCAAAACTGTCCCTTTCTATAGTCATGATTTGGCAGTCGTTGAAGAATGCTAGTCACTCGTTGCAGGTCACATCACACACCATGCTCTTGATGTTCTTCTCAACGCGTCATGGGGCATCTGTGGTTGAGCGGAGCGGAAAGGGGGTCAGGCCGCTGAAAGGACTGCTACTGGATCATTTTCTCCTTTTTGAACGCAACATTAGGGAACCAGATCAGCCCCTTTGGTGTACTTTTGGGGCTTGCTTAACACTGTATAGTTTTCTGGGTATCGTGGACTGGATGAATGCTGCTTTTGAGCCAACTACAAGTGCATGTTTCTGAGTGTCAACCGGTTGAGAATGAGTTTTATTTCATTAACATCAAAAGAAATGAACAATTGACTGCTAGAGATCTACATAAACGCACGATAAAACATAGCGCAGTATCAGGCTCGGACCAGACTTCGCTCAAAAGCGCCCGAAAGCACCAAAAATTCCCTACTTCTCTTAGCTCTCCTTATACGAAAAAATAAAGAGACATTAGAGAAATTTGGGCACTTGAAGTCTGCGAGGCCTCAAGTGAAAACCTGCTTTCACAACACCGTGTATCTGTTAAAACACTGCTAAAATCACCACAACTCCATCGTACGCGTTATGTTTGAGTCTAACAAGGGAAGTATGCTTGGTCGAAATGGCGTTTCCGTATAAGATGTACGTTGTCTAATAGAGCATGGGACGCTGATTCCAAATTTGCTTTCGCTATCTGCAAAGCGCTTCTGGGAGGGGAGTGCTGAGAATTTTGTAAGGCGAAATCAATGATTTTCTATGATAAAAGTAGGCGTTGAGGTCTTGGCGGCGCTTGAAAGAGGTAATGACTGGCATGGGTTCATTAGAGTGAAGGTCTTTATTGCATAAAACGCCTTGGTAGTAACCATGGCCCTATTTGAGCTCTTGGACTAAGGCTCTGAATGATTTTAAGGTAGCGACCTTTCATATTTTTGCAACAAAAAATTTACATACAGTCGATTCATTTCATATGATCATGTGTGTCACACACAGTCCAGCTTTGGCGTTCCCATCCTGGATTCTAGGAGGAAACATCTCTTCAGGGACGTGTTTTCAATGTGTTTATTCATATTTCTTTGCTTTTTAGGTACTAATCACCTCAAATTCATGTAATCGATAATAATCGCTAAGTCTCTTGCGTTTCTGCAATTGCAAATCCAGGATGAGGGCGCCAAAGGTGGACCGTGTGTGCAATGACACACATGATCATATGAAATGAATCGACTGTAACTCCCGTCCCAGAAGCACTTTGCAGATACCGAAAGCAGATTTGGAATCAGCGTTCCGCTCTGTAGGATAGGTGCATTTTTTATCGAAACCCCACTTCGACCAAGTATCCATTCCTTGTAAGATCGCTTTACTCAATTTAGTGATCACGAAAAACGGCAGATCGATAGTACTGAAGCTCCTCTATGCTTTCACGGATATCATCTAATGCACGATGAGTGCACTTTTTTCGCGGAGCCTTGGAAAATTTGTCCGGGTACCATCTTCTTGCAAGCTGCAAAAGAAAATTTGCATTCATCGGATCAATATTTCTTTATAGAACAACACAAAAAATGCACCTCTTTCACAGTAGATACATCAATGGTACGATAATGCAGATGTTCACCCAAACGCGGCATATACTTGTTTATGAAGCTAAATATATTACTCATCGACAACTTCAAGCAAAAAAAGTATTCCACACAAACCATCTATCGACGCTCACACTGTTTCCAGCCAAAGGGCATTCTCCTTTTTCGGTTTCCTTTTCCAAAAACTTCAGCACCTGAATTAAGCCAAGTGTTATGGAATTGAGAATATTGACTGTATCGCATTACAACAAAAGAGAAAACAAACCTACAATTTCTTCTGCCTCTGAAAGAGATACGGTACTTTCTCGAATCCGTTTCAGTAACCCATTCTTTGTGAACGTATCTCTTGACCACTCCTCCATCGTGTCTAGCACCTTTTCTGGTTGATGTATTACTACGTCTGGACCTTCAGCAATGATCTAAAAGAACTCCAACGAAAAAGTACGCGGCACTGTCCCAAACTTACCTTGAGATCCTTGTCTGTGACTATAGTAGCTATTTCAACTAGTGTTTGTTTCTCAAAATCTAGTCCAGTCATTTCGCAATCAATCCATATCATTCTGCCCGCCTTCTCGCCAACAGAATTGGACATTTTTCGCACTAACGAAGGCAAGGCCTTCAACATATCTGTAGCTTCATCCCACGAAATCGAATCTCTTGATCATGGTTTTTCACTTAACATCCCACCCCAACTTTTGCTTTAGCAAGCGATGTACACTTTACGAAGATATATGCACAAACAGAGCTTACTAGATACCAACTGTAGATAGGAAGTTTATCATAGATATTTATACAATCTTCCAATGAGATCAAGACTCAAATGTACAATAAAAACGGAGGCCTCATGCTAATGGCAGAAAAAGAGCATGGAAAACCGACAAACACACAAGTACGAGAGTTCCATATACCCATGAATGTAAAGTTCAAAACACAGTTTTCACGCAGGAGTCGAAGATTGCTTCAATTTGAGCCTAAAACGCAATAATGAGATGCGAAGGAACTCTAGAACAAGGCGAATTTACCTTAGCAATGGCCCTTGCGTGCTCCGGAAGAGTGCGTAGATCTGACACAGCTGAAGCTGCGAACGCGCTGTCTCCATCAAGAAGCACATCAGCACCGCCTAGAAAGGGATTAATAAGCATAGTAACAAACTGTTGTGTTGTCTCAAAAGTTCTCATGCACTGCATTGAAGATATAGTTTTTGTTTGGATGTAAGCACTAATTGGAGCCTGCCCCACACCATTAAATAGGGAAGATCTATCTCTACAGTTATAGTAAGCATATACACTATCGTTTTTTTCTAATAATGGGTGTACGCGGTGGAGACTCTTCGACCGATGTTGGGGTCAGAATGCGATGATATACGGTAGACAAGAGAGATTGATGGTGGTTCAGTGTTTATTTGGATACGGTATGCGATAATGTGCGAATAGTGACCTGCGGTGGTCAAAGTCAGATCGTGAGTGCCAGTGACCTCACAGAGAGCCACATGGCAGACATAGTCCGCCCCCTCAGTGTGACGTCAACTGGCATGGGTATTAGGGCTGATAAGGGGAATCATCGATCCGTCTATGATAATGGGGGTGAAGAATCTAAAGCATGAGATTTGGACCTAACCCACATCCCCTCCCCACTTCGCAAAACGTTATAAAACCCCTATCTGCTCCAATAATAGTATACACTTAGTTACCCATGTACATGCACAGTTTGTACGGAATTTGTGCTCATAGAACAAGAAAAATAACTGTAAATGGCAAACTCCCCCTATCAATCCTGTGCTCCTCCCACTTGCTTAAAGGCAGCGTCCAGGCAAGTTTGGACACATGGGGATCTCACCTGGATAGTAATTTTGGGGCCCTAACTAAGCCAGTGCCCAACCGGCAGCTCAGGTAGTGCTCTAACGGCTGAGATATTCTCCTCAAAACTGGACCCCGCGATCGTATTCCGCATGGATTCATGGCGCAAAGCGTGGATCCTGGCGCGAAATTGCCATTCCATGCGAATACGATCGCGGGGTCCAGTTTCGAGGGGAATATCTCAGCCGTTAGAACACTAACTGCGCTGCCGCTTGGCCAGTGCCTTAGTTAGGCCCCAAAAGCACTTTCCAGTAAAATCCCCATAGGTCCAGATGTGCCTGGACGCTGCCTTTATAAGTACAGCTGCAAATTTTCAAGGATGTACATCCATTAGGTTTCGCGAAATAGCCGATTTCGTGTACAAATGTCCGCGAACTTTCGAGTCAACTAATAGATTTCATTGCTAAAATCAACAAGACATAAGATATAAATCTCGACCGTTCTAAAAGTAACGTTTCACAATTTTTTCACTGTCGCGTTGATACTCAGATTTCGTGCCGCTTTATGAATCTTATATATAAAGCTGAATGTCTGTTTGTCTGTCTGTATGTCTGTCTGTGTGTGTGTACGTATGTTCCGAATAGAAAATTCCATTTCTGAACCGATCGGGACCAAACTTGGCACACATACACTTCGGGCCCCGGCGGGTGTCATAGGCTACTTTTCGTATCGATCGATATCGATTTTTTGCAAAATTTGAGCTACGGGGCTGGGATTTGGCACAGGGGGGGGGGGGGTAAGTGAGCATGGGGATTCCGAATACAATATTAGTTTTTAAAATCGTGCATTACTTTTATCGATTTTATCGATTTTTTTGCAAAGTTTGAGCTACGGGGCTGGGATTTGGCACAGGGGGTAATCGAGCATGCTGATCACCCCCGTGGGGGTGATCAGCATGCTCGATTACACCCCTCTGCCAAATTCCAGCCCCCTAGCTCAAATTTTGCGAAAAATCGATAAAATCGACATCGATCGATAACGAAAAGTGGACTGTGACACCCGCCGGGGCCCGAAGGGTATGTGTGCCAAGTTTGGTCCGGATCGGTTAAGAAATGGAATTTTCTATTCGGAACATACGGCGGAGCCGGGTAAGCCAGCTGATAAATTGATAAAAATTTGCAAATAACGGTGCATTTTTGCTTAACTCAAGCGCCAAAGAGGGCTGGAGAACACATACCTGGTAATGAAATTTCCGATTCTTACAACTCAAAACAATAGGAAAAAATAGATATGTTATTTTTGTATCCTTCTATACTGGACAATAATCACAATAATCACTCAAACATTTCTCTCTTTCATTTTTAGGGGCACAACTTAGTATCCCATAGGCACTGCTTCGCATCGCAAAAATTTTGTACATTATCAGATGGTTGGTTCAGAAAGCGATCATGCTTAACACATTCACGACAGGGCCGATTTTTCGCTGACTGTCGTTTCGGACCAGAGCATATTTCGCAAAATTGAGTTTGCGGAATTTTTTCAGGTCACTGATGGGCCCTGTGGTCTGTGTTGATCTTTTGGGAAGTACTCCAAGAGGTGTATGCAGAAGTTTACTCGGTTTGTCTAAAAAGTTTCACCGTGAACTAGCAAAATCAAAAACTTCAGAAAACATACGACCCACCGATGGGTCGTATTGTCCGGAATGGTAGAACACGTACGACCCACCGGTGGGTCGTATTGTCGTGAATGTGTTAGAAAACGGACGCTAGCGCCTTTCATCCCCTTTCAAAACATATGATACGAAGATAGACAAAATTTGAACTCGCAACCTGAAACAAATCATTAACCCCACTCGACACATGTGAACGGTACCAAAAATATGTTTAAATGAAGTCTTCTTGCGCTGATTCATGCGGATAACGTTTAGTTTAGCTACATTCAAAACCCACACTACGACTATAGAAATCAACCATCACCATCTTTTCATTTCGTGCGACCACAATTAATTAAGTAGATTCAGAATTTTTTGTCATGAAGCACAAGTATAGAGCTATAAGAGAGATGCTGATAAAAACAAGTACCTTCGTTTCTTTTATCCGGTAGCATGTAGCCCAAACCCGATCTGAAACTTCCTTTCATAATACGAGATAAGCGCAGTTAACATAAAGAACAAAGCATACCCAGACCTGACCATATCATCCAATTCGCCATAGTCTGACAAATCATCATCATGCTTCCTCTTCACTTGTTTCAGAAGCCTTAATCTAACATGATACGACCTTATAACAAGGGAAACGAAGAATGACTAACTGAGCGCGTTCATCCAGATATGGGTCGATCCAAGTCATCTGAGGAAAGAGGTCCCATGTGCTTTCTTCGTGCACTCCATTGTCTCGCTGCATTCGCAGTCTTCTTTTCTCACGGACGTATCGATCGCGAATCTTTTTCCATTGTTTGTAGATAGAGTTGACGTCACCTATGAATAAAATTTGATACGACGCTTGAAAAGGCCTAACAAGATAATGAATGAGCAGAGCAGAAGATGAGCTGCATGACCAGCACAAACTTATAAGCTAAGCACTAGCTTCTAACAACTTTTCGCAGGCTTCACTTGCATAATTTTGTAAACTTACAAGTTTCAAATAATCTTGTCAAAAACAGGCAATCCTCAACTCTTCACTCAAAGTCCAAGGTACTACAAAAAATGCCATGCAAAAGCGCGGAAAGACAGAGTTCCGGCTGGCCGATCTTCCCTTATTATCAACAAAGTTGAAAACTTTGAGAAGAAGAAAGCTATCAAATTGAAGGTCTGACACATGCAGGTGAAAGAATAAAGAAAACAATAGCATTGTTAAAAGAAACTGTGACACTGTTGGAATGCACAGAAATCAGCTTACTTCTGTGATCTACGAATGTTATCCGTTACAACCTGAGGACACATAAACACACCTGGATAATTCAGATGCGCAATAACATTGTGCCAAGCTTGATTGCGACATTCAGAATGTCTGTACTTCGGATCGCGGATGTCGAAGAGACACGGATGAGAGCGAACTTCTTCAATCAAATTAGTACCGAAGGATGGATCTGTTACAGTCACTTGCTGAAAAGAGATGCGTTCCCACAAATCAGAGCATATCAGATACAGCTGGAAACACTCACCACATCGGGATGCTCTTTTCTTGCAGGAGATTCCACCGACTGTCTATCTATCATGTGAGGATCCAAGAACGACAGATGTTTGTAGTATTGCCAGGTAGACTGATCACCTTGATACTTTACTTTTCGCTTTTCTTTTCCATACCTAAAATAACGATGGGCCAAAGTAGAAGACATACATATTCTCTAACGGTACTCTATCTATGGTCACGAACATAAAATCAAGCTCTCACTTGTAGAATAGCTTTGTGATGAAAAGCACTGATTTAGGAGGTTAACGAAAAAAACTGGAATGGTTATTCTCACTTTGACAGATTAAGAGGGGGGGGCAGGCGTTATGGAGCAAAGCTACGCCGCGTTCCCCTGCGGTATATCCTGAGGGCCATTTGCGTTGCGTCGCTTTTAATTGCGCAGGAGTAGCGCTGCTCCTGCTAGCGGATTGAGCCATCCCCTACTACCGCGACCTAATATGTTGAAACTGTATAGATGCAATAAGGAGAACAAAGAAGACGATTAAGAAAATCAAAAAATAAATTTATAGGAATGAATCAAAGGCTGGATCTGAGATGATGCGCTTGATTTGATTTAAAAATTTTCGAGAGAATTAGAACACGAGAATCAGTAGAAAAAAAGGATAGGAATTTTCCGTCATGAGTTTCCAAGAGAAATTAACTTACTCATCTCTTACTTTCTCTTGGCTTGCTTTGCAGACTTTTCCTTTTCAAATTCTATATTTGCCCTTGAAATGCGTTTATCATTCACATTTTGATCTCTTTATCTATGAAGAGTGAGGAAAATGGCTCAAATCGCTCGGTAGCGCTAGCTCCTCTGCGACTGCAATTAGGAGCGACGCAACGCAAGGGACCCTCAGGTTATACCAGAGGCAAATGCGGCGTAGCTTTGCTCCATAACGCGGCGCCGCCTTAAGAGGAATCTTCATAGAATTAGGGCAAGCCAAAAAGAAATGACATTCCGACAAAGGACAAGATATGCAAACTTTTCATAGCCCTCTTAAAGTCACAGTCCTTCTCATAGTAATTACTATCAGTTCAACAACAATCAACATGAGTCATTTGTGATGTAAAAAAATGTGCTGTCTGAATGATTTGAGTATCAAAAAGACAAAATAATAGCAATGATAAGTGCTTAGCTGATATTTACACAAGAGCGAAACTTCATGAGCATTAGCAAGAAAAGCACGCATTTCAGAGATTTCAGCAATTGTACAGATCGAGAAATTCTCACTTATCTCGCAGCTGTTTCCATCTAGCATATAGGGTCCGTGAGTCTCCGTCAAAGCCGAGCACTTGCACGAGCCGATTCCACACCTGTTTGCAACCATTAGGATTTTCTTTGATTTACACGAAAAATAAATGGAAACACACCTTTATCTTGTACTCCGTACTTCGATACTGCCGGTCTGTAGAATCGTAAAGACAACGACTATGCTTGACCGCTTCAATAAGCCGCATATTAAAACTAGGTTCTATGTCATCGGTGAGTCGATACGCAGCCGGGTTGCTAAGAAAGTTAAAGTAACGGCTAGAACCGACACAGCACGTGCAATTATTGATATATCTCGAAAACGATTATAACCAATTATAAGCAAAAGCAAAAGGATTTTGAACTCACATCATGTTGATAGACACCGCAATGTCAAGCTGATCTGAAAACAGAGTTCTCAAATAAAAACAAAGAGAAAAGGGGAGAAAGGCAAACAAATACGAGCATCATTAACTTCGAGCGCTGTTCAAAATTCACCACATTTTTAAAGGAGCAGGTGGATGCGGGCAAGAATGACGATTGGAGCATGTAAATTGCGGTCGTTTGCGCAGTTAATAGAGATTCGTAGCATGCAAAGGCTGCCGTATCGGCGTCTCTCTGATCGAGCGCTCTTTCGTTTCTCTTACCATCTGCTGTCTCTCCCATGCACAAACTATCCTGGTCAGACGCAACGGCCCCCAGTCTTTGCGTGTCATGAATTGCGTAAACATAAATGGCGTATGCAACATACAAATTCGCAATTTAGGATCTAACAAAGACGCACATAAAGGCAGCGAGTGAAAATGGAAGAAGGGGCCAGCTGAAACTTTATAGATTTTAGCAGGCCCCCAAACGAGCAGGAAGTTCCCAGCAAAAGTGCGCTTCTACAAAACCTAAAATTTCCTCTGCTAGCTTCCGGACATCATCGGAATCCGCCCATCCACCGATTTCGAACCGCGGCTAGACGGTGCAGTACGCACACAGTTATAGACTGTCCCAATGAGTGTGTCACAGATCTAGCGGCTCGGGCTCTCGTGATGGTCGCGCTCGGCCTTGCCTCGCTCCGCGCATCATATCCTCTGGGCATTTTTCAGCCGAGTCAGCTCTCATTCGCTGTTGAGACGTGATAAAATGCTCACGGGGAACGTTCGCGACGCAGCTGAACGAGCGAGGCGGCGCGAGTGCCCGAGCAGCCAAAGCTGTGACACTCTTTATTAACGGCACCTTCCAAACAGATTGCGGATAACGAGATTTTGATGTTGTTTAATGGAGGAGCCCCTAATAATGGAAAGCCATGGCCAAATCTTGCTGCAAAAGATGAATTCCGAAGCGAGAACCGCTCCGGAAGATATAAGCGCCACTCTGGCTCCGTCCATCAGCTTGAATGGTCTGAAGATAAAGAACGTAAAATCGGGCTTCAGGATAGACACTACTGTCAAAAGATTGAGAATCATTGAGCAGGATTCATGACAGCTGTAGGTACATTAGAGCTCGTTTTTGGGCTTTTTATCTGCAAACCAAGCAGGATTATGGGGAGCCAACGTGGACCTTCAACTTTCTAGAGCGCTTTTCTCGACTCGGAATTCATCTTTTACAGCAGGATTGGGCGAAGGCTTAGTTAGGATCCCTCCATTATATAACATCAAAATCTCATTACTCTCAAATTGGAGGGACGGTGCCTTTTACTAAAGGCTAAGGCTAGATACCTCATGCGAGTTCAGTCTCTGCGCGATATATCACTGCAATTATACTTAGGAAAAATAATTATATTCCAAAACCGAGCGGATATTAGAACACCTCGGAAATTTTTTTTTAATATTCGACTATCAAATATTATTCGAAATAATATCATTCGCCTTTCGAGTGTTAGTCCAAAGTTAGAAATTAATCCATTTTCGAGTAATGCTCGGTCCTCGAATACTATTCGAATAAATTAGATGTACAATTTATGATGAAGAAACGGCTTAGAGGTGACATCAAGAGACTTGAGGACCTAAAAACTTACTCAACGTTAAAAAAGAATTTTCAAAAGTTTGAAGAAGATTGTTATTTCAAATCGACGTTCCTGAGTAGTGAATTCGAGGCAACTATGCAACGAAGAAAGCCGGCTCGTCTTCGGTATTCCATACTAGGCACTATACTTTGGACCGAATCGAATAAATATTCGAGTCTTTGAAAAAAGTATTCGATTAAAATTTCGAAGTTCGATTATTCGAAATTCAAAATCTCGAATATTTTCGCTGTTCGCTTAATCAAAATTTGTCAGTTTCAAATTCATTCATTTATTTGGTTAGTCGAAATTTTGGATTTTTAAATATAGTCGAACATTCGAATATCTACCTTCAGTAGTTATTCGATAATTCGACATTTCCGTGTAATCGAATAACTACTTGACAGCGTCACATTTTTGATTGATCAACAAATGTTGTTTATTGTTCATGCTCACTACAGTCCTTCATTGTGCTAATTATCAAAAAATTTTGAATATTCGACATAGTCGATGCAAAGTACTCGTTTATTCGATTTTTTTGCGAATATATTCGATTATCCGAAATTTTTTCATTTCGAAAGAATTCGATATTCGACTGTTCGGAGTTTTTGATTTTCGAAAATATTCGATATACGATAATATGTTTTTGATTTTCGTATCGATTATTTGATTATTCGAGAAAAATTTCGAATATTCAAAGTGTACCATGCACTCACTCAAATCTCCTTAATCGCCCAAAATTCCATGTGAAACATTCCTCTGTCAAAGGCCTGCGAACTTATCCCTTAGAATCCCCAAGCCGAACTGCCATCTAGCCTTCTCTTGATAAAGATGCCAAAGGCCTAAAGCCGGCCTCAGGCATACCTCGCGCGATTCCAGTCGCTGCGTGATTCGGCACAACAGCGACTCTTCATAATTCGTCGTTAATGCGCCTTTGGTCAGAACTTGCTCCTTTTGCAACAGCTTACACGAGCTACCCATATAAGCGTCCGAGAAGAGCGCACGATAAATTTGTAGAAATTTGGCAAATTGCCAAGTCGCGTGAAAGTGGCGATTCGACCGAATCGCGTGAGGTATGCCTTAGGCCTAAGGCATATCTCACGCGATTCCAGACGCTGCGCGATCTGACACTGCAGTTACTCATCATAAGTGGTCGTAAGCGCGCTTTGCATGGGCCAGACTTGAAGCTTTCGCTATAACATACGGAAGTTACGCGCCTATGCATTTTCGACCCGCGCACGGTTGATTTAAGCAACTGGCAAACTGCCAAGTCGCGTGGATGTAGCGATTTGACGAAATCGCGAGAGGTATGCCTCAGACCTAACTCTCAGCTTTTCGAAACTCCCTTCTGAGGTGCTTGCCATGAAACTGTCAACTCCCTCAAAAACTGTCCGACAATTCTCTCCAATTGATGTTTGCTTCCGCCGTTGTGCCTTTAACTTTCGCTTACTCTGAACCACGACGCCCAGCGATGCTTTCTCAAAATCAATTTTTCTAAGCCAGAGAAAACTTTCATTCAAACCTTTATAATCTCATTTATGCCTTCATCCTTTAAGGCAATTTGCGCATGCCATAAGGCGGCCTAATATGTCACCAAAAAGAAGGGCGTACGGTTTATAGGCCGAAAATTTTTTTCAAAAACATTTTGGTCCCTCCCCCAACCAAAAATAAAAATTGCCCATCGCACGTCCTCAAGCCTGCCAACTCTTTCCAAACCTTTAGTATATTCGTTACTACCGTACTTTCAAACCCAACAACTTGTTATGAAAAAGAGAATCACTTTAGTTGAGCATTCATTTACACGGCAAAAATCAAATTCGTTCCAAAAGTAATCGCTTTTTTCAAGTAGTCGATTTCGTGGGACATAGATTACTAGAAAATATTGATATAATTAGACCCAGCATTTCACCCTCTTCCTAATGATATAAAATCAATGCAGTACGATTAATGTGCTCTCGGAAAATTACCAAAATCTGCTTCCCAGGCTTTGTGATGGTCAAGTTTCACAATTTTTCTGAACTTTTATATCAACCCTCAAAAGAAGTCCAAGCAACCTATTTATGGAGCAAACTCTACGAGATGCAAAACAATTTTTCCTTCTTTTCCATAACTCGTCATAATTTTTTTTAACAGAATCTCAGTTGATGCTCCCAGTTTCATACCTGCTCAACTGAAAATTTGTAGAACAGCAAAGAGTCAAAGGGAGAGCAGTTCGGGTGCTATTCAATGCAACTTTTTCTCTTTCTTCTGAAGTTAATTTTCGCTTCCGCTTCATAAAGTCATCGGGGATAGAATCACAACTTATGTTTTCGAGCGCTCCCAGGCTATACCCAAAAAACTCCAAATTCAATATTTCGGTCCGTAAACTCTCACTTGCCTTGTAAAGTTGGTGCTAAATCATAGTACCATCTTGAAAGTTTCAAATTCCGAAAAATTATTGTGTTTGATGCGATTGTGGCCGACGTAGGACTGCCAAAATTCGATGGTTTCAGCAGAAATTTCAAGAATTTATGGCGAGCTATGAAAAAGAGAAAAACGTTGCACTGCATCCTCTAAGTTTGCCCTATCGAATCGTTACTTGGACTTTTTCGAAGGTTGTTATAGAAGTTAGAAAAATTGTGAAACTTGAAATCTGAAAGAGCATAGATCGCAGATTTTGTTAATTTCTCGAGAGTTCATTGACTTCCCTGCAACAATCTTATAACCGTTAGAAAAAGGATGAAATGCTGCACCGAAAGCTACTAAAATCTCAAGAGTTTTTGTTTCATGAAATGTGGCGCTCATCTAGAAAAAGCGACAATACTTTTGGAACGACATATTAGGTTGTGCCGAAAGTTTTGTCCGTTTTTTCAACCTATCATAAAAACGCGTGGAACGAAGATAGGGAAACGCTCTAAGCACTATCCGACCCATCTTTTCCTTCTCTTTCTAACTGTCATGCTTCCATGCCGATTAATCTTTTGTTCACTGAGATAAACACCGAAATTTCGAACCCATGGTTTTTACTATGTTCAAGTTTGGTATTTTTCACTATCTTTATTTTTGACTTTCGGAAAAGCTTTGGCGACAGTTACATAGAGCAACTAAAGGGCAATATAATGCAAATGCAGCATCTATAGCCAGCCTTGAAAATTTTTTAGAATTTTTTTTCTGCTGCTATCAAATTCCACTTTTGATGATGCCAAAAGCCAGAGATCATGAAACATCGCACAACTAAGGTATTCGATGCAGCTTTTCCTCCTCTTTCAGTGAGTGTATTTTCTCTCCAATTTGCGGGGTCTTGGCGATAACTTTTTCGTAATTGTTGAATTTGACCCCACCCCAGCGTGTACACGTAAAATGCAAAATCTTATATTTCAAAGCGGTAAACGCTCATTTGCTTCGTAAAAATAGTGAGTAATCGTAATCGGTTTTTGAAAGCTTCAAAATCCGATGATTTGTTAGTGTTCGAGGCGTTTCTGTATTTTAGAACCTCTCAAAAGTGAAAACCTTTGAAAAAATTATCTTTGAAAATATTGAAAAGCCAGCTAGATATGCCAAATAATTGCATTGCATTGCCCTTTGCTTACTCTATCTGAGATTATCAAAGGTCTTCCAAAAGTTGAAAATGAAGATAGTGAAAAATTGTCAAACTTGGACGGTTGAAAAAACGGACAAAACTTTCGGGACAACCTAATATTGTTACAGGACTGAGACATGCGCCGTTTCACTGATGCGATTGCTGAACAAAGTTCCTTCCAGCGATAAAATCATATGAGGACTCCAAAAAAGCAAGATTTATTCACTTTTAATTCATAGATATACTCATACCATATGTGTATGCGCCAACCTTAACATATGATAAACATGGTGTAGAAGAAGGCTCACATTCGAATACCAAATGACGAGATAGCACAATAAAATAAAGTAAATGAGACTATACAAGTTTGTGTTCCTTAGGTCCCATAAAGCGCAACCATTATATAAGACAAGGCTTGGGCAGCACGCACTGACATTCTCCCGCTATAAATGGAAATGCAGGTTGAAGGAAAAATTCATATTCTGACGCTCTGTACATCTGGATTTCTCGCCGTGTCTCTACTAGCCTCTATTATAAGCATACTAAACAGGAGCGAGAACTTTTATAAGCCGCTTCCAGCTTTTTGTACAATCTCCTGGTGATCCGGAGCAACAGTCTCTCCTCCAAAATCAAAGTTCTAGGTTATTAGACAGTCCAAAGTTGGATTGATCATCTGATCTAACAATGCCAAGCACGTTTCTGATGAGAACAATCAATGTATCAAAGTCAAAAAATGAGATAAACAGAAGTTGGTGTTTATCGAAAATCATGATATTTTGGTGACTCAACTGTCCTCAAAAGAAGCATGTTTGGCACTGTCGTATTTATCAGTAAAATATGAACTGACTTCTCATTGACTTCGAAGAAAAATGACTTTGAAGAAAAAACGATGCCGCCAACGATCGTACAAAAAACTGGAAAATGCGGCTTCTGCAACTTCTCGCTTCTGTTCAACATGTTTATGGTAGAGGTATAGTCGTCCTCACTCCACTAGTCGGTCGGTGGTCGAATTTGAATTCGAACTGGAGCAGGTCGATCGCGGCAGAGCGCGGCAGACCGTCCCTCAACCAACCGCTTGCACATGAGCTTTTCTCTTATTTTCTTCGTGTTTCCTTGCTATCTCTCGTATTGCGGCAATGTTCTTAATCAGATTTTTGGATTCATACCGCCAGCTTTTATTTTGTGCAGTTGTGCTCGTGTTTTACATTTTTTTTCCAGATAAACCAGAAAGGAGGATGCGATTGGAGATCTTACAAGGGAACGATCCCAAATTAAGGTGGCGAATTGGAATAAATCGCATACCATTAGATGCGTCTTGATGAGCTGATTCCAAATCTACCTTCCTTATCTGCGACAACGTTATCTGGAAGAAGTTATGAAAGGTTAAAAATGTGAAGTAACGGGGGTTTTGATGCGCAATTTGCTTTAAAATCCAACTTGGAAATGCACGACTAGCATCATATTGAGTGTACTGACTTCAAGGAATGCTCGCACTCTAAAGAAACACGAATAAGTGTTTTTGAACAACTAATTTTCGAGGTATTGCTATGTATATTTGCCAAATTTGGACTTTTCATTGCTTATAGCTTTTACCAAAGAACTTTAGTTGCTTTTTAGCTGTTCAAAAACATTTATTTGCGTTTCTTTTGAATGTGAGCATTCCGTGAAATCAGTACACTCAATATAATGCTAGTCGTGCACTTCCAAGTTGGATTTTAAAGCAAATTATGCATCAAAACCCCCGTTACTTCACATTTTTAATCTTTCATAACTTCTTCCAGATAACGTTGTCGCAGATAAGGAAGGGAGATTTGGAATCAGCTCATCAAGACGCATCTAATGGTATGCGGTTTATTCCAATTCGCCACCTTAAGTTGGGATCGTTCCCTTGTTAGATGAGAAATTTCTTTTCCGGTAAGCGACATATACACAAATGTGATTTGATGAACTGTGTCAAGCTTTTCGTTGAAATGTGCACTCTAAACTATTTTTTTGCGGCAGGGCTGCAAGTCTCTCAAAAAGTGTCTGTTTCAAAGAGTTAGCTGCACGAAATCTGAAAATCTGATTAAGAACATTGCCGCAATACGAGATATAGCAAAGAAACACGAAGAAAATAAGGGAAAAGCTCACGTGCAAGCGGTTGCCTGAGGAGCGGTCTGCCGCGCTCTGCCGCGGTCGGCCTGCTCCAGTTCGAATTCAAATTCGACCACCGACCGACTATTGGGGTGAGGACGGCTATAGAAACACTTACGAATGAATAGACAGCGAGTAACCCAGACATCTGAAATTTCAAGATTGAAGCTTCCTTTGAAGGCACCGTCCACCCAAATCCTCGACTTCCATGCTTTGTCGCTTCCAGGCCTACTGAAGGCCCTGGTTTCGAATATGGAGTCGGTAATCCGCGAAACCCTCAAAAACCTCCACTTGCGAGAAGGGCGCAATGCAAGTCGCGGGGCTGCGGCGCTGATATAGCCCACGCATCACTTGCGAACTTGCAAAGTGGGCGGGGTGACCAGCACCGGATTACGCCCCTTCCGGAGCGGATTTCTCCGTGCGGAAACAATCTTTTGCTGCCCAACTTGGGGGTTTGCCTAGTGTGGGGGCACACGCTAGTACGCCATCATAAACTCGTCACCCCCACTTTGGGTGGACAGTGTCTTTAAGCAGTGTTCTCTTCTCCACTGGAATGTTGATGCATGCTGCCTCACATGGTGACTCAGTCGGCGATAGCATTACCCTGGTTCGTCAACAAAAACTCCTAGCTCGGAAATAACCGTAGATGCTGAGCTTGAGACAAGAAAAAAAATGTCTACTTTGCTGCCTTCTCCAGTGCGTGACTGTTACCCTGGAGACGTTTTTGAAGTTTATGAATCATTTTATACGCAGCAGAAAGCTGTTTCTTCTGACAACAGATGATAGCTTTGAGATCGTCCACTGAAAATGCATAATACTGAACAGTCAATCTACATTGAATGTAACGTACCTGTGCTCGACTTCACGCTCAAAAGCTCTTGCACCAAATGAGCAGCAGTGGGCCTCCTTGACGGGTCCATCTCAGTCATATCGAATATTCTATGCGCCTGATAAAAAGTACGAATGAAGAATGAAGGTACTGAGGTGATTCATTGACCGCACGAAGAGGCTCTCTTTGCGGCGGTCACCACAAAGACAGCCTCTTCGGCTAAAACATTGCGAAAGCACTACTCAAAGGCAGTGTCCCGTCAGATCTGGGCGCATAGGTTTTTCGCGTGGAAACTGATGAGAGGTCCTAGATAAGGCTTTGCACCAGTGGCATCGCAAGCGATCCATTCAAGCTGAGAAATCCACCTCCAAACGCTTCGCGCCTGCGCCGTACCGTAAACCGTAACCGCAAATGCCAATTTGCCAATATGCACTGCGTTCGCGCCGGAACCAATCCTTGTTCGCTCGCCTACGGTCGCGGCGCAGGCGCGAGAGTTTAAAGATAGATTTTTTAGCGGTGATTGGATCATTTGCGCTGCTGCTTGGGCCGCGCCTTTTAGGACCCCTCATCAGTTTCCAGCTAGAGGCCCATACCCATACGTCCAGATCTATCTGTGCACCGCCTTTGAATGCAGTTTCGGCAAAATTGACATTTCCAAATTTGATATAGTTACTTACTTACTTAGATACTTAGATGGCCCGTCCTCACGTGACGTGCGGGCCCCAGTACAGAAGTTGCCATTGATCCCTGTCCCTCGCTTCGGACATCCACGATCTTCTTGGTCGTCGTCGGTGGTTGCGTCCACGAGTTCCAGGGGCGAGAATCGTATCCAGCTGATTCCTCAGCTGGTCCATCCGTTCCACGAACACGTCTGCCCATCTTGTCGGTGGTCTTCCTCGAGGACGTTTGGCTTCGCGAGGAATCCACTCAGATGTTCTTAGTGTCCATCTATCGTCCGTTCTTCTCATTATGTGACCGGCCCATCGGTGTTTCGCTTTCGCAACGTATTCCGCTGGGTCACGAAGACGGGACATTCTTCTCATATCCGTGCTGCGAAGTCCAACTAGATGTTGCTTGTGTCGGGTCATCTTCAGAAGACTGCGCTCGAGCGCTCTGTGGTGGTCCTTGAAGCTTTCGACGTGGCTACGGTAACGGCCCAAGTCTCAGCTGCGTAGCAGAGCGCTGGGAGAACGGTTGAGTCGAACAGGTGGGCACGAAGCTCCGGGTCCGTCAGTTGGTCGGTGGCTTCCTTCAGAGGCCCGAAGGCGGCCCAGACTGCTCTTCTTTTCCTGTTAAGTTCTTCCCTCAAGTCGTTCTCCATATTCATCGAACGTCCGAGATACACGTAAGAAGACGTCTCCATGATAAGGGTGCCTTCCAATTCCATTTCTGCATCTTCATAAAGGACGTTCTTCATGAACTGAGTCTTCTTCCGATTTATTCCCAGTCCGATCTTCTTCCCTACTTCGTTCCTTCAGCATCGCCTCCGCTTCAGTGATACTGCTCGAGAAAAGGACGATGTCATCCGCAAAACGAAGGTTGGATAGGAATCTCCCATCAACTCGTATGCCTCTCTCTTCCCAGTCTAGTGACTTCATCACCCACTGCAAGGCCGCGGTGAACAGCTTCGGCGAAATAGTGTCGCCTTGTCGAACCCCCTTCCCAAGTGGAATGGTAAGGGGGCGATGGAACAGCTGCATCGTTGTTGTACAGTCCTTGTAGCAGTCGGCTAGTGTCCTCACGTAAGCTGGTTCCACTCCTTGATCGACTAACGCAGACAGGATGGCGTTGGTTTCGACGCTGTCAAAGGCTTTCTCGTATCGACGAAGGTTAGGACGAGAGGCAGTCGGTACTCCCGGCAGACTTCTATGACCCTCGAAACCGTCTGGATGTGGTCCATGCAGCTGAATCCTTTGCGAAATCCAGCTTGTTCTTGGGGTTGGGCTTCATCCAGTGTCCTAGATATGCGTGCAAGGTAATTTTCGTGAAGAGCTTGTACAGCACACTCAGCAGGCATATTGGACGGTAATTTCGAAGATCTTCCCGTTCACCCTTCTTAAAAAGAAGGAGGTTCTTGACGTTCTCCACTGGTCGGGAATCCTCTCCTTCTGAAGGTAAGATGTCAGGTGCGACGCGAGAATCTCGTGTAGACGTTGTCCTCCGGCTCGCAGAAATTCGACGGAAAGATGGTCTGGTCCTGGAGCCGTGGATGTCTTCATGGTCTGAATCGCCGTGCGCACTTCAGCAGGTAGAATTCGTGGTGGTACTTCTCCAGTGGGAACAACGGGCGTCGGCACGGGTGTTGATGAGCGGAAGAGGTTGGTATAGAAGTTCTTCGCGATAGATTCCATCTTGTATCGGGAAGAAGTCGCAGTCCCGTCTTCGTTCAAAAGTGCAGCCAGCTGTACGTGATATTCACAGAGGTCCCTTGGGCATTTCTTAAGACTTCGTCTTCCTTCGGCTGCTTCCAGTATCTTGGCTTGCCTGTACTTCCTGAGATCCTCCTGCATAGCTGTTCTGCAACTGGCGTTGGCTATCAGTCGCTCGAGATGGGTTGCATTCGGATCCTGCCTCAAAAATCTTCTTCTTTCGAGCAATTCCTTGGTGGTCTTCGAAATACATTCCAAGTTCTTCTCAGAAGTCACTGAGGCGCACTCTCCACAGGCTCGCAATCCTTTCAGAAGCCGGTCGTAGTCGTACGTTGGGTCCTCCTCGATGGGCCAGTCACACCTTGATATGAGCTCCTCCAGCCTGTTACCGTCATAAACGACTTCCTTCCTTCTCGCGGCACTGTGACGGACTTTCTTTTCCAGCCTTCGGCTAAGTCGTATCTTCGCTCGAAGGAGGCGGTGATCGGAGCCACTGCAGAAGGATGGAACTACTGAGACATCGAGCAAGCTCCACCTTCGGTTGGTGAGAATGTGGTCGATCTCCGCGTGAGTCGTTCCGTTGAGCGATTCCCATGTCCACCGGCGATGTTCTTTCTTTATGAAGATGGAATTTCCATGGAAGAGTCGTGCGGCGGAGAGAAGCCCAGGAGACGGTTGCCGTTTTCGTTCCGGAGCCCATATCCAAACTTCCCGATCCTATATTCCTTTTCTAGTGGCATCCCGATTTTCGCATTGAAGTCGCCCACAACATACTTGTAGAAGGACTTTTCGTTGCGGACGACCTCCTCCACGTCTTCGTAGAAAGCATCTAGTTCTGAGTCGTCAGCTGTTAATGTTGGAGAGTAGCAGTTGATGATGCTTAATGGTCTTCTGACGTGGAGGGCGTAGTCGTAGGATGGCTAGTCGGGGTGATAGAATCTCGTGATGGACAATCGACAAGATGGACGATAGATGGGTGGACGACAAAGCCAACGCCTCCCACGTTTCGTGACGGAACCTTCTCACCACGAATGATGAGCGTCCCATCATTCATCTGTCGCACGTCCTTCTTCCTGGACTTCGTTTCCTGCAGAGCGATGATGTGGTACTTGATGTGCTCTGCAGCGTCGAGAAGAGCGTGGAGGTCGGTTGTAGAGACTGTCCTGGCGTTGTAGGTGCAGAGCATGAGGCAGTCTCCGTGGCGTGTCGTCCGGGCAGACGTGTCGTTTTTGTCCAATCCAAAAGGCGCCCAGAGGACCCTGACATCAGTCTTGCTACCACCCGGCGCCGTAGGCATGTGCAGGGTTTCTTTCTATTCTTCTAACTGGTAGAGTAATGAAATTTTTCCCCTATAAGAGCAGACTTACTAGGCCAACTCTTGATTTCCACGGGGCGATCGCTGACCCCGGGCTTGGAGCGGGGAGAACCGCCTAGCGACCTGAAAACCAGACGGCGGTGGATCTGGCCTGGCCTGATTTGATATAGTTGCACAGCTCATATAAGAAATTAAAGCAAATCCGAGCCCACAGCATGCTGCTCCTGCCAAGAAAACTGCCCCCAAACCCTGCATACAAGCCATTCTTAGACGCGCTCGGACCAGCTCGCTCTTCCCTTCCATTGTCGAAGGCGGCATGCCGCAATGTTATAGCCATAAAATTCCACAAGAATTCTGCGTCTCAACCATGGCACAAACTGTTACGCTCGTCCAAACTGAGAATAAAGGGCTATGTGAGATGCTGGTTTTCGCCATTTTCAGGTTCCCTAAGGTGAATTTTTGAGATCAGCGCATCATATTATCCCAAGCAAAAAAGTTTTGATCGAAGAATAGCCGAGCCACTGCCATCAAACAATGACGATTTGTACTGCGACAAAACCAGGGCGCATCGCTGCTCCGCACTGCAGGCCAGCCCGCGCTATAGATGAAACATCTCCACATAAGTAGCAAAGGCTTGAAACCTCGGCTATCACCTCAGCGAAAGCTTGTTTGGCTAAACAATGAGAAAGCAAAGTTGCGGCTTCAAAAGCAGTAACTCGGCAAATCCATGACTTGGAAAATTCTTTCTTACAAGGGTAATTAATGAAGTGATCCCAAAATCCCACCATAGAAAGCACGAAAATGGCGGAAAGAGCGTTTTCGCAAAGTTTTACAGTCACAACATTGAGGCTGCCGCGCAACGCTTCCAACGGTGGGAGGGGGATCGCAACAATACAGCCTCGAGCAGAAAGTTGCTTCGCGAACGGGTTTAAAGGCAATTTTCTCGGCAGCGAGGGCGTGCTGGGCGATCTACTTGCTCTCTTTTCATATTTAGTAGGTGAACAACCTGCCATACCAAAAACTCCACTGCTTCCAAACAGAAAGCTTTCAAAGCAGAACTTATTTCAACAAAGAGAACTCATGCTGCGCTTTCACTATGAAAATTGAAGGGCTCACCATCGAAGGCCAGTCCTTGAATAAAGATGGAAATCGCTCAATAAAAGTGTCCTTCGTTTTCCTCTCACGAACAATGCCAAACGCTTCTAGTTTCTCCATGCTTGTGTAGAAAACGCTATAGACTTCAAAGAGTATCAGACCAGCCCCAAATATATCTACCTGGACATATAAGTGATGGTTGTAACGAAAATGAAGTAAAGACAAGAGAAAGCTCACCGCAGGACCATACGTACCAGAATTCAGTTGTTCTGGTGCAGCATATGTTCTAGTCCCAATTCCAGAAGTATGCTTCACTCTGAACGACACAGCATCTCCAGTTCTATAACGAAAGACGGAGATGAGGTCTGCATAAAGGAAGACTGTTTTGTTTCATACACTTACTCTTTCATAATCTCGTTCTCTACTTCATGATGTTCACAAGCAAGTCCAAAATCGCCAAGGAGAAATCGAAGCTTGTCCTTGTGACGTTTCAGAAATATATTGCTGGGCTGCCATGCACGTCGTTATATCCGCAGTAAAGATGTTAATGAATGCACATCTGCAAACCTTGATGTCTCTATGTATAATGCCTTTTTGATGAATAAACTCCAAAGCAGATAACATCTGAACGGACAATTCGTAATTGAAGGCGCCATCGACGACAATTTCTTGATCAGTAGTGGCTGGAAAAAGTTTCATGACTTGTATGAAATCAGAAAGGCTGAATTTAGTACTTAATTTAACTTACTCACACGTTGCCTTTTTATTTCGCCGTCTTAGGTATTTGTCAAGATTAGAAGTGCAGAGTTCCATTTGGATGTAAAGATCAATACCCCAGAAATTCTGCAATTTTGATGAGTGTTCTGAGGCTAGGGTAAACACAGGATAATTGATTAGATGACAAAAAATTCACTGGTTATGTGTTAATGTTCGCCCACCTGCGATATCGATGGGGATGCTTGAGAGGGAACTGTGATCGCATTTACTGCATTATTCAGATTCGTTGATGCGTGTGCTAATAATTCCGACGACTGAGAGAAACTGAATGCCTCCGAACCAGTTCTACGACGGGCCCAGAATCGACCTGGTTTGCGCGAAGATAAACTGCTACTTGTGGAAGATCCACAGCTTTTGTCTAACGCAGGTTCGTTTTCTGAAGATGCGACTTGAGCAGCAGAGAGGGGGCTCTCCATTGCTAACTCATCATCTTCACTGTAACGTTACTTTTGGAACAGAAATAACAATGAAATGAGTGTTAAGATCCACTTACACTTCTGTGATGATAACTGAATTCTGAGAAGAGCTTTGACGAGGTAATGCAGGTTCTCGAAGATGCATTTCAAGCCATCCACAATGATAACGCACGATATTTTCGTGTTGAAGACTAGCTAGTAGATGCACTTCATTCAAAAGCTGAAATAATAGAACTGCAGCAAAAAGTGAAAGTAAATAAACACACCGACTTTGACAGTGAGAGTACTGTTAGTCTTTAGTGGGATCTTCTTTACGGCGTAGAAGCACCTATCGATGAGGCATTTAACCTGCAAATAAGAATAACAATAATTTCTGTAAATATACGAAAAAACCAAGCCAAAGGAAGAACCTTCCAGACAGTTCCAAAGCCGCCTGACCCAATTCGCTCAAATTCTTGGAAATCGACGGCGTAGCGACTCGATAGTGCCCCAAAGTTTTCCATACGAATTCTAGAGAAAATTGGTATTTCGAAAGCAAATGCCATACTTATCAATTCAGCAGCGCCGAATGATAAGTCAGTGACAACGGGTCTGTTTTCAAAAGACCCTGGATAAGTTAAGGGGGACAGAAAACTCAAAGCTATGGATTTCGATGCAGTTCCAAGCACAGTTCATCTGACACGCTAATGTAAATTTACATTTGCTAGATTCCCAACTTTCTGATTTGAATAAATGTCGCATCTTCTGCTTGACGCAATTACTATACAACACTACTTTCCTGACCAAATCAATCACAGTTGTCATTAGCTATTGACTTGGAAGAGTCTTGTAGAATCGTTCTGATTGCACAAAATAGTTTTGATGTCGCGTCTCCCAACTGTGATTGATAAAACTGTTGAAGCTCGCACTGCTTTTCTTACTCTCTCGCTACTATTAAAAGCTGCCACATGCAAGCTGCCATGTTCTACGTCCATTCGAAGCTAGGAGAAATTGACAAAAAAAACTAGGCAGCTGAACATGCACTCATTACATGCAGATCTTTCAACCTCCGCTTCAAAATGCATTAATATTGTTTACATCTGCTGCAATCTACAAAAACAAGATAAAGAAGTATTAAAGTTTACAGGTAAGGCGTCCGCGCAGGGCGCGGAGAACATTGCGCGTCACCCCTCTTTCCTCGTGCACTCTCGGTGTAAACGATATTAATGCATTTTGAAGCGGAGGTTGAAGGATGAAAGGGAGGAGGAGGGGGGCTACATGAGCGTTTAATTACTGACTACTGTCTTGTCAAAACTGCAGTCAGCAACAAAGGTGTAACATCTTCTGAACAACAGCTGTATCATAAGTTATTTGAGACATGTTAATCTTAATTCGAAGACAGCTCAAACGAGGTTAGGCAAATGGTCCCGTCGTGGCTGGTATGGAACTTATTAACTAGCCTAAATGATAACAATGCTTACCTCGAATCTGAAGTAGGATCCGGAAAGAAGCAATTCTTAAGCACTCCTGAGACCATACTGGCGAATTTCCTGCGAAGTGAAAGGAATTCGTCCGAAAGAACGACACCAGGCACGATGTTCATCTTCGCTAGCATTAGACCGAGTTCTTGGAAAAGTATTTTTACTTGTTTAGCGGACTTGATGAATAGTCTCACCATGCTTTAGGTAGTCTCCATTACTGGTTGGCATAGACTCGCAAAAAACATCAAGGAATGCTGCGAAGAGCGCCCGTAAGATTTGATTGTGCATGAGAGCATCAGCTCCACCGGGTGCTCGGGCAGTAACAAGGGCACTGCTGTTGTCATTGTCTAAATCGACGCAGCATTAGGACAGAATAAAACGTTTGTATTTGTTTACATGCTTGAAGGCAGGGGCGACCTGCATATACCTACACTGCAAATAAAAACTGCCGCACCTCTCCCATCCAAATAAAATAGAACCAAAAAACTGCTTTTGCTGAATGACCTTAAGGTAACACAGTGATATAATACGCACTGTCAAATTTTTTTAGATAGTTACTAGCAAGCAGTTTGTACAACAACGTCCAACGAGATATCTAATAAACATTGCAAACGACCCAGAACTGTTCCTTCTCCACTAACGATTCTAATTTGATAGTGCAGATTTTTGTAGCAACATCTGCGATTAAACCGTACCTATGGTAAATTTTTGTGGTGGCCGTGCTAGATATGCATCCGCTTCTGAAATCCACATTCAAGAACAACGGTAACCTCCACAATGGAAGTCCGGAACGAGCCCTATAACCCGATTTGTTTATAAATACAAGCAGTAGTAGGCTATGTACCACGTAGTTTGAGCCATGATAAGAAACAGACGAATACTCATATTGAAACAGGACTGTACAAACTTGCATACGTTTTGTAAAACCTAGCTTGAATCGTTACCATCAAACAAGCCGTAAAGTTAAATGTGCGTTTCCGCAGTTACGTGGGCACTGTATTCCACGCCTAAAACCTTCAATTCTCTGCTTCCTGCAATCGAGACCACCCATTAGTTAACTCACTTCTGAGCCGGAATATATTTCAAAATAATTTCAAATCGAGGTAAAGTGAAGAAAATGATCGAATTGAGAAGAATTGGGGTCTAGATGTTTTCAAAATTGCCCTTCTCGTTAATAATTGTTGCTTTGCTCAAAAGAATCATGAAACTGGATCTTGAAACAAATTTTAAAACTCAAGCACACTGGAGTATTTCACTTTGTGCACTCAGGCGCACTAGTTTATACTTAGGAGTGGTGTTGATAAATCTCTAAACTCAAATTCTCTAAATCACGTTGATGTGCATATGCACATATGCACACCTGACTCCGTTATGCTGATTGTATGAGTAATCCTAAAAGGTTATCCTACTGATTTTGACAATGAAAGGGACTTCGTGGATTTTCTCGAAGTCGTTAGACTCACAGCAAAAGGACGATTGAATTGCGAAACATATTATTCAAAAAGCGTCGTTGGTTAGAGTGGTTTTTCAGCTTCATCGGTAAAGCATAAATGCTGATGCAAATCTGTCGTGTTTGTCAGGCCCTTGGACGCCGAGCTATGAGGGGAAAAATTTGAAAGGGAGACGCAACTGGAACAAATCTTTCAGAACGCGCAAATGAGCCGGTTGGATATCAGAGAATTTCATGTAATGAGTACCGTCTGTCAAATACACCCATACTCACAACTGCTCTTAATTCCCCCGCTCATTTCTCGCTTCGAAGTATCAATGGGCTAGATTTTAATCGCTGCTTATGAAATGCCAGAAAAGCCCGGACGAGATGTCGCGGGACTCGAGCTGCATGAACCAATGACACTACCGTGGAGACAGAGTATAGTAACATCCACTATGAATGAGGAGAAGCTCGAAAGTTGGGCCATAGCAGTGGCGTACCCAGGATTCCCGTTCGGGGGGGGGGGGGAGGGGAGGAGCGACAAAAAAATTTTTCTGAAGGTGCGTGGCGTCAGCCACGCACTCCGAAAACTTTTTTGGGATGCTTTTCAAAATTTTTTCTGGGCCCCTGACCCGTAAATTTCAGAAAAAGGGCGTGGCGGCAGCCACGCCCCCGAAAAAATTTTTCTTACAAGGCTAATTTAAATTTTAAAGTTTTTTAAAAATTATTTTAATTATTTACAAGCAAAAACAAGTTCTCTGCACATTTTTATAGCACATTTGAGTAACTTTCAAAAATTTCGCGACCCATCTCGGGGGGGGGCCTTCCGGCAACTACATTTTCCAGATTTTCGTCTTTACTCGAATGGTTATTCTGCTTACATATGACAGTATTTAGCATTGGAAGAGACTGAGTTAAGAGTTGAGGTGATGCTGTTTTGTATGAGTGTTCTCTGCTCCTGTGGGCGCAAAGACCAGCCAATTAACAAAAGACCTATATTTTTTGCGACGATTCGCTAGGCTCTTCAGTCGACTCACGGTTCTTATTTATTCATTCATTTATGAATACGCTAAAAGTGCACTAGAAAGAAGAAAAAGAATTTGAACTGATGGAATACCACCTATTCTCAGGAGTCACAAAGCCAAATGTAACATGGAAAGGTGAAAACAACCAAAAGCTAAGGTAGAGTAGAATGAGGAACCAACTTATCAGTTTGTCGGGTGAAATTACGCGTAGACTTCAAAACCTTGCTACTTCTAGGAATCATGGTGTTCCTCTGGAGGGATGCGCGAACGAACTCCACCAGTTTGAGATCGCCTTAGCTCGCAACTGGTCCTTTTGCAACATTGTTGCGCGTAGTTGCGGGACCAGTAGTCCGTGGAGGCGGTTCAAAGTGGCGGAGTTCGTCCCCTACCCCTTTCGAGCGTCAGCGAACCTGCGGGCGTAGGGCGCCATCTATCCTACCGGGCTGGCTGCGCGAGCGGTTCGCATGCGGCAGCCGTAATTGGCGTAGGGGCGCGCATTCTTGCATGTGCGCGACAGCATCTGCGATCGCTGTTGATCGTCAGGTGTGCGAATGAAAAGTTACTGGAAAGCAAGTAAAAGTTGAAAACTCACTGCGGAGTGCAGTGCGCCTGTAGGTAAATAGGTAAATATGTAAGCTATCTGTTTGCCATGGGGTGCATGACTAATTGTTCGCAGAACTTCTATGTTAGCGAAGTATATCGTTTCTTTTCTTTCTTTAGGTTGTTGTTGTGGAAACTCCTTTCCCCCTAAGCTTGTCAAGTCTAGTACAACTCGATCAACCCCTTCTAATGGAGAACTCGCATCCTCGATGTTTCCCCTTCAGAAAACTAAGTTTGATCTCATTGGTCCCATGATTTACTTAGATACATGTGTACAACTCGTTGTAAATGTTATGCAGTGAGTTTTTCTAATCTATGTCGCTGATATTCAAAGCTCAAACTGCTTGGAAAGTACTGAAAATTGACGATTTTTGTCAGTTGCAATAGATGCAGCAATTTGTTACTACTGGCCGCTTTTCTGATAACAAAGGGAAAAGATTTGGGATTCCTGAAGATGGGAAGTCGTACTACTTGAGTTGTAATGCGATGTATGCAAACACTTCAATAAGTGAGTGGATTGTAAAATTCTGGGCAGGAACGTGGTATCTTTGGAATGAAGGGACTTGTGCAAAGAACCATTGGATGACCATGGTTGTTTGCATACCCTCGATACATAGAGCCACATACTCTGGTAACCTTCACTTTGAGGGCTATGAGGGGACACAACCTTCACCTGGAAAAAAAACAGAATATCCGGGGCGAAGCCCCGGATGTTATGACTGACTTCGGAAGAATGTGAATGAACCAAATATAGGAAAGAATGTTTGAAGAATGTCTCGGCGAAACCGAGAAATTGCTTTTTTAAAACCTTTTTTTACGCTGAAAAGAGAATTTCTGTGAAAATTTCCTCAGAATTCAGGACAACGTTCCTCATTTAGCCTCCCACTTGACCAAAAATGAGTTTCAAAAGTTTGGAAAGCTGTTGGAGTTGAAATGAGAAACTGCGCTTAATTGTGCACAGAGAGTCGCGCACGAAAATGCTGGTCTATCTCGTTAGTAAGTGACTTTTAAAGCTTGGGACGTTGTCAGCTCTCCTCGTCGTGTCATGACGGTCAGAATGATATATAATGTTACAGGGTTTCGTTGAGACATCGCGGAGATCAATGACCAGAGCCAAATGCCCCGTCGGCTCTGGTCTGTCTCCGCTGCTCGTCTGCGTCTCCACGCGCTGCGCGCTACCTCGCTACCCCAAACGCGGGGCGCGGGGCATTTGGCTCTGGTACCCTTTGCTTCGCTGTTTCGCACCCAATTTTAGCAAGCTATATATCATTTTGAAGCTCTTGATCTATATTTTTACGCTGACAACATCCCAAAATCACATTCCTTGATTTGGACGAGAAATCCAGCAAAAACCTTGTTTTCGAAAATCTCTTGTTTTTCTTCTAGTTTACCTCTTTTTACCCGGTTTTTCCGTGCATTCTATAGATCTTGCTTCTATTCATAATGCAGACAACCACCCAGCCTTTACCTCTTCGATTATTGTGGATTTTTTTGCGAAAAATCGTAAAAAGTGCGTTTTTCTTTACCTTGTTCTGTTTCAATGCCTTCGCATCGATTTTTTTCCAGCTTGGGCGATTGTTGCTCAGAACAATAAGCGCAACAATCCAGACAACGTCCCAGGAAACAGGAACGTCAATGCGGGGGTAAAAATTCAAAGGACGCATCAAAAATCAAAACCCCGTGTTGCGAATTGCTGGTCCTGAAGCGAAAACTTGCACTTTGAAAAGCCGCCAAATGAAAGATTTCAAGCCTCACTGCAGCGTTTTTATCCTATTTTCAGCAGTTTCTTTTGCTTTTTGTATCTGTTTTGTGTCATTTTCTCTTCTCTGATCATCTTTAAACAACCTTCACTATTTATGACGTCAGATGTTCAAACAACCTTCACTTTTGACGCCCCGTCTCTAGACTATCGAAGGTATGGTTGTTTGATGCTGGTAGGTTTTGCAGCAATGCCGATACACCTAGATTATTTCAATTATATACTGTTCACATATCTGGCCTCAGACAGCGGATGGAGATCCTAACCCGCTCTTGAGTCAAAGTCTTTTACGATGTAAATGTTACGAGAATTTAACAGGAGAGAGACGCCAAGTCCACGCCGCTAAGTCCAAATCTAACATGCATATTGCGAATGCCGTCAAGAATGCTTTACGATCGGATGTTTATGGAGGCAATTTTTCATCTCCTTCATTACCGCCATGATAAGATCGAATATGATTTTGAACATCCTCAAATCGTTGCACCCACACAGCTTCAGGGAAAGTCACCTTAAACTTTAAGGGATCATGGTCAGTGCAGAAAATATATTCAAAACCTTCTTTAGTCTCTATCTACATAAAAAGCAATGATTCAGAAAAGGAATAAGCTACTTAGGCCTTGTAGGGAGTTGACAACTCCCTACAAGGCCTAAGTAGCTGATCTCACTTCATAAGCTTAGTCAAGTAGAGTAGCGTACACCAATGAAACGAAACCAACTTCATCAACATTTCATTTGCTCCTTCTGCAATGAATAAAGGGCGCAAAAGCCTTCAGTGACATTTTGATGCCATGAGAACTAAGTCCAGGAAGGAATGCGCGCCCTTACGCCAATCACGGCTACCGCACGCGCAGCCAGCCCGGTAGAAATAGATGGCGCCCGGGCGTAGGCTAGCTGACTTGACCCTATAAAGTTATCCTAGAAGAGTGCAAAATGATCGAAATGCAATGGACTCGTAACTGTTTGTCTTGTTGGAAGAATCGCGGCGATGAAATCGCGTGTGCTCTGCCCAGGCCTAAGCGAGGAGGGCAAAGCTCATTTACATTTCGCAGCGAAGATGATGCGGTGCTTCGAGTCAGCAAAGAAGACATACATAACAAGAAGCGCTTTGTCGATATATGGAAAAAAGTGATAAATCTTCACGCGTTTTCAATCTAGTATCCTACCCCGGCCTATTCGAGTTCGCTGGACGGAACCGGGGACACCATCTATAGTAATATATATACGGGATATCCAAGAAGGTGCGTTTACTGTTTGAGTATTGATAACTTTCTTGTGATGAAATCTTTCGGGAAGCTTTGTGTACGGATTTGTAGAGCTGGCTTCAAACTCAGATATACTTATGCAGCGATTCAACCCCCCCCCCCCTCTGCATTACTGCACGATTACGTTAGACTTTGAAGAGAGTTTTGAGTAAATAAATAGTAAATAAGGGTGGGTGGGTTCAACCTGCTTTCCCGCTCCTCCAAAATAGAGCCCAAAGAAGCTGAAAGCTCCTACATTAGGTTAATGAGTCGCTGTGACCAAGTGACGCTCACCGAAATGCCAGCTATGAGGATCGGCTCAGGTTTTTGGCATTGAAAAGCTTAAAATACAGGGGAATTTATCTTAGTCTCATTTTTGTCTTCCGGCTTATACTTAGGGAACTTAGACTAAATGCAAGCAAATACTGGATTTTTAGAGCAACTTGCAGGATAGATGGTTCGACATTCACTATTCTCGAATTAAAAAGAAGCGTTTTCTTCTGATGTTTAACAGACTTTTTTTTATAGATTAACTAGGTGGTTCAACAAGTTGCCTCCCTCTGTTTTACCAGCACAGAGCGTAACGGTTTTGCAAGATGCAAACCAAATGGACTTGCCACAGGTTGAAGAATCAGAAAACTTTTGACTTTTTGTCCCTTTGCTTTTTTTTCGTTTCAGATTTTCGGTATCTTTCTACCCCGCTAGTTACATCGGCCATTTAGGATGTGATCATTGCTATTATTGTTGAATAACATTTTTGTTAAATGTTGTCAAGTTTCGCTACTAACTTTCGGCGCTTTTTTTCTGATCTGTCACTTTCCACACCTTCCATGTATTGTTAGGTATTTCGAATGCATTGATTTTGACGATACTTCTGCTCGGATTGGGCTGCAGATGTATCTGGGACTATTGGGTGGGTGGATACCAAGCGTGGACTAGGCTAGTCTCGGACGCCCTCAAAGCTCATCGCGAGCTGGTAAATTTATTCTCAAGCTCCCTTCCCCTTTAAGCGCTCTTTATTTGCGGTTCTAATGGCTGCGTTCTGCAACAAGTGTAAGTAAAGGAGTGGAATTGTGACAGTTATGTTTTTACGATTGAGTTCTGTCAACCTGTTTCCTTTGGCGCATTTATAGTCATTCAAATAATAAAATAAATGAATGATTAACAAGCATGTTCGCACTTCATCGCATCACATTTTTCATAAGTATTGTCAGATACAGATACCACAAAATTGAAAGCGCAAAAGTGTACTGAAACACCATGCATAAAACCTTGTTACACAATTTTTTTCCGAAACGGCTGTTTTCACAGTGGCGCCCTATCTGCAAGTTCCCACCGTGCTCCTACAGTAATGAATATAGATTCTTAATTCTCTCTTTACTGCAAAACTAAGCTGAAGCCAGCTCTACAAAATGGTACCTAAAGCTTCTCGAAAGACTTCGTTACAAGATAATTATTAACAATCAAACAGTAAGCACATCTCTTTGGGACACATTGTGAATCATAAGTATAACAATCTTGATCCAACTATAGCAGTCGAAAGGAAGTTTTTGCTTCTTTGGTAGACAATTTTGAATTTTACTGATTACGTGCTGTAGAAGTCGAGAGATGGTATGCATAGAGAAAGATTTAATAGAACAGCGGTGATTTTACGACTATGCTTATCAATCGGAAGCCTAGAGCTGAAGGTTTGCTGTTGCAACCTTATGCTCGGCACCCATCGATTCTAATCAAGATGTTCAGTAATCTTCAGATTTTATTCTGTTCATTCTGATTGAGTTGATTAGAAAATATATTTCCTGCTACACAGTGACGCACATGCTTATTTCTTATTACGTGTAATGAGGAATACATATGCGAGACAGCCTTAGTTTCATTATTTTGGCCAGCAATGACAAATTTTCACAGATTTTTTACGACCAAGCAGATATTTTCCATGAATCGGGAATCACAACTACGCACTAACGTAATTGCCAAAATTGCTTCCTCACTTTTGCTCTCATGTGGTTGCATAGTCAAGGAATGGGGTATTTTGAATACACAAAACTTTTTGCTGCATGGCGATCTAAAATGTTGCCGTAATTGGGGGTTTTGAAGTTCCCTTCAGATTTTTGTGGACGCAAAAGTTATTCTAGATTTTTAAGATGTTCTTCATCATGACTCAGCTTTGGAATATCGAATTCTAGTTTCTCTTTCTACCGCAAGTACGACTACTCCGTCTTAATCGTTGACCGTTAAGCTAGAAGTCTATGTGATTCAGAAGTCTCATCGTTAAAAGTTTTTTGCGACGAGGATATCTTTTGATGTTCGTTGTTTTTTGATGATGTTGATGTTTGTTTGATGTTATTTGTTTTTTTCGTACATTCACAGGCCTAAAACAGTCATGGACCTTACAAAAGAACAGTCGTTTAATTCATACGACGGTCTCCTTCATGATATTGCGAAAGCAATGTTCGATTTCTCTTGTTTAGATTTGTTTAGATTTTAGATTTGTCAGAATTTTCATTCCTCTGGTACTTTGAGTAACGTCGATACTCTCATTTCCACTATTCTGTGCAAACTTTAATTTCACAAACTTTCAAACTTGATTGAATGGTGCAAGCAGAAGTTATTAAAATGGCTAATGTAGATTTTGCTGTTATGAGTATAATTCCACTTGATGGAAAAGAGAAGGAAGAGAACGATTGGGACAATGAAAGTATCTGCTCGACAGAAACGGTAGAGGTGGCCAATTGCTCGCAAAGGTGATCCGAGATTTACAATTTGCTCCGCTATCGCTTTTTCACATGAATGTGATTTAGGTTACGAGGATTCTTTATACGTTTATTCGTCTCCTTACTTGTCATCGGAGCATGCGCCGGAGCGCTGATCTGGTCATTCGTCAATGGTTAGTTCTGAACTATTGACCAAATTGCTCCCAAAACTGCTTTACTGTACTAAATCCACTGCTAAATAAACAACTTCATCTTACTTTCTTAGTTTCTGTGAGCTGTATTCAAATACATCGGCACACTCAGGTCTTATTGTCGAGTTCTGCTAACGTTAGAAGTCCAAATAAACTAGTTTAGATTTGATTTTACGACATATCCCAAACGTGCTGATCAAGTAATTACGACACATCTCGAATTCGTTCCATAAAAACCTCTAGAATGCATAGTCATTGTTATGCTATGACGCAAATCTTATATATAAAGCTGAATGTCTGTTTGTATGTCTGTCTGTATGTCTGTCTGTCTGTCTGTACGTATGTTCCGAATAGAAAATTCCATTTCTGAACCGATCCGGACCAAACTTGGCACACATACTCTTCGGGCCCCGGCGGGTGTCATAGGCTACTTTTCGTCATCGATCGATATCGATTTTATCGATTTTTATCGATTTTTTTGCTGAGTTCACCTACGGGGCTGGGAGTTGGCACAGGGGGGTAATCGAGCATGGGGATTCCGAATACAATATTGGTTTTCAGGATTATCGATTACTTTTATCGATTTTATCGATTTTTTTGCAAAGTTTGAGCTACGGGCCTGGGAGTTGGCACAGGGGGGTAATCGAGCATGAGGATTCCGAATACAATATTGGTTTTCAGGATTATCGATTACTTTTATCGATTTTATCGATTTTTTGCAAAGTTTGAGCTACGGGGCTGGGAGTTCGCACAGGGGGGTAATCGAGCATGGTGATTCCGAATACAATATTGGTTTTCGGGATTATCGATTACTATTATCGATTTTATCGATTTTTTTGCAAAGTTTGAGCTAGGGGGCTGGGAGTTGGCACAGGGGGGTAATCGAGCATGCTGATCACCCCCAGGGGGGTGATCAGCATGCTCGATTACACTCCTGTGCCAAATTCCAGCCCCCTAGCTCAAATTTTCAAAAAATCGATAAAATCGAAAAAGTAATGGACGATCCTGAAAACTAATATTGTGTTCGTAATCTGCATGCTCGATTACCCCCCTGTGCAAACTCCCAGCCCCGCAGGTCAAACTTTACAAAAAAAATCGATAAAATCGATAAAAGTAATGGACGATCCTGAAAACTAATATTGTGTTCGTAAACAGCATGCTCGATTACCCCCCTGTGCAAACTCCCAGCCCCGCAGGTCAAACTTTACAAAAAAAATCGATAAAATCGATAAAAGTAATGGACGATCCTGAAAACTAATGTTGTATTCGGAATCCCCATGCTCGATTACCCCCCTGTGCCAACTCCTAGCCCTGTAGGTGAACTCTGCAAAAAATCGATAAAAATCGGTAAAATTGACATCGATCGATAACGAAAAGTGGACTGTGACACCCGCCGGGGCCCGAAGTGTATGTGTGCCAAGTTTGGTCCGGATACGGCGGAGCCGGGTAAGCCAGCTAGTATTATATAATTTAGGTTGATTTTGAAACATTTTGAGAAAGAACGAGTTTTTTTTTTCGATTTTTCGATGCAAGACTTATGGATTGCAAGTCTTTCATAATCTTCTTTTCCAAAAGTTCATTTAGGCCATTATTCTTACTTGGTTTTTTAAACTTGTCATCTGGAACTGCTTTTCCTAGGTTCTTATGCTCTCGTTTTCGCAGATTTTTGTTTACTCCAGAGTTCCATGTCTTCAAGAGCAAGTCACTGCGAAGCAATTCTACTTCCTCACTCTATTAGCTTCAAATCCATAGAAGATCGTCGGATTTTATTTAATACATACACGACGATTGCGAATCTTGTGCTACAAAATCTTCACCAGAATCAAATTTCAAAAAAACCACAATGCTAAATCAAGAAATTTCGTCTTAGAAAAGAATGGTCGCTGGGGTCACTCTGTGCTGTGGAAAAAGACATGGGTTGAAAGTTTTTTTTTACTTTTCACCTGAGTAGCCTAGTACAACCTATGTACGAAAAAAAAACGGCATGCTTTCCCATTTTCTTGGAGCGAAAAATTCAAAACAACTTTCGAAAGCGACTTTTCGCCTCTTCAAATGTTGGAAAAGATTGGATACTTTTTTGCAATGAAATAGAAAAATATCTTTGTACTGCTGAGTCTACTATCTCAGATGCGCTCGAGTGTAACTTATGCTCCGAACTAGAGGTTTCCAGAATTTTGCCAATTTTCGGGGTAGAAACTCTTTCTGTAATGACTATAATTATGCAGCATGTATTGTGCAAAATTGCTATTTGCGGCAATTCTTACTGCGTTCAATCAAATTGTTTTAGATAAAAATCATATGAAAAGGTGAGCCTGAAAAGACTTGCATTGATTAAGAATCACCCCAACATAACCATCGCTTTAGCTTTATGACTGCTGCTTTTATGATTCATTTTTGTGCTTCTTCATCTTTACCCTGCTGACATCTCAGGCGAAGCTGGAATCAACACGGACATACATCAACGCAATGCTTCCGTTAACTTTTCCATTTTTGTCGATGAATACTCACTACAAGAGGGACTTTACACAGTCACGTTCCGAACACCGGATTCGAAAAACGGCGGTCTGCAGGTACCTTTCTGAGATTATGAAAATTTGAAAAAAAAACAAATGTTTGCTTATGTTTGAAAATTTACGGATAGTTTCAAGCATTGTTTATCTAAAAAGAACAAAAACAAGACGCATGTTCATTGCTATTGCTAGATTAAAAAAAATTTACATATCAATTGACGCGCTGATTTTTTCTGCTGTCTAAACTGTTTGTCATCCATTTCACAAATCTAAAATCAGCGGTAAACTGTACAATCATCTTTCTTCGGAGGGGGAGCCATTCTTGTGTATCTACCGGGTCTTCTTCATGTATGTAGTCTCTTTTTTGCTACAGTTTTAGGAGTATGCTTGAGCTCTACTTGAACGCTCAAACTTAGTTCACTGAGAAACTTCAAATAGCCTCTATCATATTGGATGAGATGAGGGTTACGCTTAGCCATCCGCCAGTTGTATGCAGTGAAGTCTCAAAAATATCAGGTTTTCCCCAAAAGTAAACTCATTCCCAAATAACTTGAGTTGTTTTTCTTTTTCGGACAGATTTACAGTCCCATTCGATAAAGCGGAGCAATCTACAAAAAGCCCATCAAAGACCACCACCTAAATCGTGACCCAGGTAAAATTTGAAGTCAAAAATCAAAATTTTTCAGCTACCTTAAAAATCGGATCTTTACAGAAAATTGCTGCGGACTTTCAACTTGGTCCTTTATATAGTAGACACATAGTAGTAGCCAAAAATGTTTTGGTTGATTTTTTCCGAGACTCAAAATTCAGGAACAAAGATGGTCCGAAAATTCCAAAATGCACTTTTTTCGGTTTTCGAAGTATTATTTCGCGATTATAAGAGCACATGCAGGGGTGAAGTTTTGAGTTTGATTTAGTAGGGCTTCTGTATACAATGACATATGTGGGAGCGGCGGGCAGAGTTTGTCATTTTGAGCTATCTTATCTCGCTTTCTATGCGCGGAAGCAATTCGGTGGGCATATTTGAGTACTATGTGCGTACTGTATAATGAACAAGTTGAAGATCCGTAGGTTAAAAATCCAATTTTCAGACAAAATTTTTTTTTCGATTTTGGTTTCAAACTTTACAGGGAATGCGACTTAGGCGGATCCTTGGTAGTCACTTTGTACACCTTGATCTGCTTTGTTGAATGATACGCTAAATATACTAGGAAAACAAACACAGCTTGAATAATTTTAAAAAAGTGTTTTTTTGGACAGCCTAACAGAACTGCAATCATTGAGATGTGACTAACAATAATTGACGTAAAAATTCGGCAAACAGTAAATAATGCTAGAAGAAAACACATCACTTTCATTTCTGAAAGAACGAAACAATAACATAAGACAAGATCTGAAGGTCTGGTTTTTTCGTAGCAGTAGTGTTCATGACAGTGATAAGCTTGCTAGCAAGATGAGAATGCATAGAAGTGGGACTAAAATCTTGAGTGCTTTTCCTTGATAGCTTGTTTCTTGTTTTTTCCTAATGCTTATATACAATGAAGTTCAAGTCTGGCATCGCACCACTTTTCCTAAAATTCGAAGTTTTTCAGTGCTTTAGCACAGGATATTATATCTCGAATGTTAGCCGGATAATTCTCTTTATTTGCAGACACCAAAAGTTTATCCTTCCTTTTGGTATCAAGACAATACCAACTCAAGACTGGTGCATCAGGTATGCTTACACAGCTGTAATATATGGTGGTCAGATTTTCGCTGTACTCTCAAACTTTTGCTGCCTCATAAAATAATAAGAAATGATTACTGACGTAGTGCAAATCTGACTCCTTTAATATTTTTCCTACACAACAGCAGACTTTCAGGTGGATGTAGACACTGTAATATACGCCTACAAGGATTACTCGTTTTGGGTGGAATATCAAATGGGAAATGTTTCAGTAAGCTGCGTTTAACGTTTCTTAGTGTGTCTTGTTCTAAACCACCTAAATGGTAGAGCTGTGCTTTCGACGTATCCACAAACTACACCAGCTACATCAACCAGCTAGGACTGACGCGACTACAAAGGCAACATTCAGCAATTGTCAGTGGAACTTTGTTCCGGCAATTTCTTTTCAATTTGATATTGCCAAAGCTCAGGAGCGAACTCATCACCACAAAGAAGTCTTTATTTATGATGGCGATCCAGACAGTGTGGCCTTGCAAGGATCTGACCAAACCGCTTTCCTCCTCACAGCTTATGCAGATGCCGAAACTGGTAAATTGAACTTGAATTCGGGGAAGAGATGAAGGCATGTAGTTAAGTAATGTCATAATCCAATAAAACAAAAGAAAATGCGCGGTAGACGTAAGATTATGGCTAACACTTTCAGAACCTGACTGGGAAAGTGTTTTTTCCCTTCAAAATTAACAAAATAGCAAGTCAAGCATGTCTTAAGAAACTTGAGATAATTGGCTTTTGCATCATGATCCAAAAAATTCTAAGCCTCTGCATTTTTTTTGACATAGAGTTTTTAGGTGCACTATTGGGATGGGACACTTTCTTCACGTCGTCCTCTTCAAACGATATTTACCAACTATCCTACTGGTATGATAGCATGCTGCCTTCGTCTCCTGATCCTACCTGGTTCGATCCACCGTCACAATGCCAGCCATCTGCGATTCGATCCAATAGAGTACCAAAATGATGTCTTGGATTTGGAGAGGATAAAAGTCAAAGATAGCAGTGCCAATTTGCACTTTGTCACTCGAAGGTTCTGTTATTCGCTGTGCTTGTGCAAAATCTTGAGGAGATGTATCGGTCGGTTACTGAGTAACCGTAAGAAAATAATTATGGTTTATTACTGTTGGATCATTGCTCAAACTTTTTCAATTTATAGTCGATAAGGAAATCAACTTGCCTTCATAAAAAGTTTATTTTTTCAGTATTAACCTTGATATAACCTGATATGCGATTCAAAAAGCCTAACCAGGGAGAGCTAATAATAAAATTCCTGAAGATGCTTACCAGCATTTCTGCGGATATTGGCAGCGCTTTATTCTGAAAAGTGTTTTGAATGATAATCTTGCTACGAAGTACGTTAGGTAAATGGACTAAGCTTTTAACTCTACCACGAAAGTAACTTCGATATGAAAACTTCATTCACAAAGATAGTCCAGAAAGTATGGTGCTAAACAATTTCAGAATGTGCTTCGGCTGGAGGGAATTCTGCCGACAGGCTCCACCTCCAAATCTAATCTATCTCCAACCCAAGGACGATACCAGCAAAATATCGTTCTCCATTCACAGAATGTTACTGCTTGCACTTTGTAGGGTATATGCACAACTTCCACGATGAACTGCAGAGCTGATAACCTCTTGCAAGCTGATCCCTGCAGCAGTGCAACGCTGGGCCGACCCGTGACAGGGTGCGAGCAAGCCCGCAACCCCATCCGGAAAAATCAAATAACCTTAACGAGACTCCTTCGAAGGTTAATTCGATAAGAACAGAAACTAAACTTTGATCTTAGCCAAATGGCCGAGAAGCGATACCTGAGATGGCTAGGGCAGGTGCCACCTCAGCCAATGAGTCGGACTCATCGCGGGTCAGCTAGCGCACACGTCCTCGCGTCGGAGGGCGCAGGGACAGGTAGACAGACCTGTGCATGGAGAACCGCTTGTAGCACCGCCAGCAATAGGTCTCACAAGTGTAGTACCGGAAATATTTCGGGAGATGGTCAAGAGGCGCGATTTTTCTGGGTGTCATCAACTTAAAACTCCAGTTTCATGCTATGAGAGAATTCAAAAAGTGCTGGACAAACTTCATTGGCTTACTAGCTGTTTGAAGCAACCAATCGATAAGTTTGACGATACTTTTGCTAAAAAACTGACAGAAATTGCTGTAAACTGCATTTTCATGTGTTTTTGAACTTTAACAATTTTGCTTGGAATCGATGTCAAGATGATGAGATCGAACAATCCCTAAATTCCCTAATATATTTCCTTTAAAATTTCAAGTAATTCTAGAACCATAAAATACTGAATATGTGCTATATGTTGCCCATCTGGCGACGGGAATCGCGCCTCTTGACATACACCCAAATATTTCGAGTAATTTTTTGTTACACCATCATTATAGAAACGTCAAGAAGCGCTTTTTCTCTGGCCGCCACCAATTCAAAAACTACCAGATGAACCGGTGAATTCGATGAATAAGCACATGAGTGACTTACCGTAAGCAAAATTCTGAAGCGATTCGTGGAATCTAACTTTTTAATGTGCCCAAATGGGCATTCCAATATATCGGAAAATGCGTAGCGCAAAGCTGAGTCAAATGCTACCCTTGGATTAAGAAATCATCTCCTCAGAAGGAAATATGGCCACGCTACGGTGGTGTCACATGATTTGCGCGATTATGCATCGTTTTTTTTCAGAAATTACAAGGGGTATTGTAATCGTGCAAGTTTTGGCTTGTTTGATAATCTTCTCTCAGACTATGCAAAGTGACAGCATATCATCAGAATTAGAATGGGCAAAACTATCAAGAAAAGCAATAAGGTAAATGTCTTCAATATCAGAGTCCTAAACATTCCCTCTGTTTGAAAGATCATTCAACTTGTGAGCTATAATATTATTAATGAATGAATTAGGGATGAATTATTGCTCACTATGGGGAAAGTACCAAAACGATAAAACAGCTGAGGATTTTCAGCTTATAGTCCGTAGACTCAGCACAGTTTATGCCTCAGCTCTTTTCTGCTGGCAATCCGAGGGTGATGAACAATCCGAAGTTTGTGCGCGCCCTTGAAAACAGCGTCCCGGGAATCGGGGGTTTTTTAAGGGTTTGGACATTTTGAACTTTGTAACTGTAATCAGGGCCACGGAAAGGATCTAGAGTAACAAGAACATGGGAGGCGAAATTTTACGTGAACGCTCCTTTAATGCTATGCTTATGTTCAGCGTCATATCGACTCTTTCAATCTTTTTGCAAAAATATCAAAGATGGCATCACAACTCCAATTTTCTGCTACAGCTTCAGCTGCATGCACAGTTAAAATTTTAATAACAATTTGTATTATTCTTAAAGAGTTTGATTTTTGTATTTGAAATTCGTTCATCTCTTCCTATAAATAATTCTACAAAATCCGATTTGCTTGCGTTTTCAAGTAGTCTACTATCTACATCTGCCTAGTCTACACCGATGTACAGTTATTCCGCTTCTAATTCCTCATAAGGGAAGAGCTTAAAGAAGGAAAGCCCAAAAGATATCGCTGACCTCAACAAAATGTCACATCAGGAAAGATTGAGCTTGGGTCTTCTCAATGAGTAAAGCGAATCTTCCGGTTACGTAAACGCATGTTCTTTTTTCAAAATCTACCGTAAAATCATCACCCTAAAAATGTCTTGCTGATATTTGTTCTTCCGAAATTTCCCAATTAATTTAAGGTAAAACTCTTAGTGTGCACCAATGGTATATAGCGATATAAATAGGATTATACGACAACATGTAAGAAGAAAGCAAAAGCGACCCCCCGTCCCCACGGTAGAGGCCCGGGTTCAATTCCCGGTTGATGCAAAGATTTTTACTCGCCAAGAGCAAGCTCCAGATAACTAATTGAATTTTCCGAGATGCCGTTGGATGATGAAAAGGCAATGAAAGTGCACCTCTACTCTTATTATGAAAGGTTTTGAACTCGTCTTATTACCGGATATTATTGCTCTCACTGTGAAACCTTTACATTTTTACACAAAAATATGACGATGTAAATGTGGCCAATAAATCCACATTCCTACATTGAGCCACTCATTGCTTTGAATCTGCAACACGGCTCTAGATAGCAAGGTAATTTAGCAACCTATCGAGCTCAAAATATCTGGTAGTATAATTAATAAGAATCTATGAAAGTGAACAAAGGTTGAGGGCGGAAAAAAGCTGGAGGTAAAAATGCAACTGTGCTTTTTTCACTCTAATTTTTCGGATCAAAATGGCCCCTTATTTTAGTAATCCAAGACTGCAGTCCTTTTGCGGCTTCAATCCAACATATCAACTGTACCCAATTGGAAAGCACCGTGGAAAATCTACGATCAACTCTACGACAAAAAGTTAGCAATACAAGAATCTTGTGCATAAAATTCTTGCTGGATTCGAACTAACGAAGTCTAAAAATTGCGTTGTGACATAATCTATCTTTCTCATCTGTAGCAGAATAGCGCCACGTAGACTAGATAAGTTCGTAACTGCTTTTTGAGGTAAGATCTTTTTTCATAATTCATCAAACCTTATTATTTATCTATTTATCTATTTATTTATAGAATACACATAGAGTGCACCAAAACAAAAAAAAAGTATAACGCAAGATAATAATGCGGTTGTTCCCTTGCTGGATTGAAAATGTCGTTCTCCTTCCTCAGAAGGCGTGCGTTTCCTGTCGAGATCCTGTTCCCTTACCTGGACGCAGGCTTGTAATAGTAATTATTACCGGGGCTCGGCTGACCAACTTAACCCAGAGCGGACGAATCCGGTAGGGACCCCGGGCGAGCAGAAAGGGAGGACCTCAAGACAGACGACTTGCCAACTTTCGTGTTCCTCAAATGGCTTTCCATGCGAAGAGAGCACTTTGCTTTACTTAAAATAGGTGTGCAGGCTGTTCACATAAACGCGAAATTAAACAAAACTCAATTAAAAAAACGCAAAAGTGTGCCAAAAGTTCGTCAAATTATCCAGCTAACGTGTAGAGAAAAACTGATGGGTACAGGATGAGCTATTCAAGAAACATCATCAACTTTTAAAACTTGCAAAACGTCTATAGAGGCCAACTGAAGTAACTTCCTGCGAAATTGAGCAGAATTAGCGCAGGAAGTTACTTCTGTTGGTAGAAGACTCAACCATCGAGCCGTACGGCATACGAAAGAATTAAAAGCAATGGATATATCGTCGATTCGTTGACTGTACGGACTGGACATAACCGTGGAGCACGCGCCGCGAGGTAAAACGCTTGCTCCAGTAGAAACTCGCCACGGTTAAAATCGCGCTCTCGCAGCATTTTAACCGCGCCGCGCGTGGTCCGCAGCGGTTGAGCAGTTCGTACGGCCAACGAATCGACGGTACTTGTTTTTCCCAAACTACGGTATCCCAGACAAAACCCTCCGGTTCGACTGCCACAAGGCCTGAAGATCCAGTAATTACTAGGTCTCAACCTTGTTTCCAAACGTATAATTTTGAAGCAAAAAACCAAGTCGTTGCATATCCTTTTCTATTTTAGGCTACGTAGCCCTAAAGCCGATAGCCTCAATTGATAGGATGGTAACGAGTCAGGATAATCGGGTTTGGGATAACATTTGTAGAAAACGACCCTGGTAAAAAATTTTTGCACCTTTTCTAAGCTTGCGATGTTTTTTTAGGAAAGAGTTCCAAACTGGTGAAGCATATTTTAACAGCGGTAAAACATAAGTTTTGTATAACCTTAGAATAAGAAAAGCTAACCTTATAGAAGCAAAGCGTCATTACAGTGAATACTTCGGAAAAACACGTAAAGGACAGACAGCTTTTTTGGAAATTGACTCATTGGAAAAGAAAATTTATTTTCTCGTCAACGAAAATGCCCAGGTCCTTAGTGGCATTGCAAGTGCACCGCTTCAACCTCCACCCCACCATATATATAAGTACGATAGGGAAGACTATCAAGATGCATTACTTTAGTTTTGAGG